AGGAGGTGCGCGAGGGGGATACGCCCAGGGTCAAGCTCAAGGCTAGCGGTGCTGGCACTCGGCGGGACTCGAAAGGATGTCACGCGCGCGCGCGGGCGCGCGCGTTTATCGGAATTCGTCAGGAATCTTAATGTATATTATTAAACTAATTGGCGTTATGTCGTTTAAGAGATATTTACTTACGCGATATAAAACTATATGATGAAGCGATCGAGCGAGCGGAAAATATAGATGTGGTCGCCAGAGATTATCTTATTCTGATCTGCGCGTCTGAAGATCGAGGGGAGATACTGATAATCAGCATGTATAATGTATGCATATACGTAGCTAGGTTATACATAATTATCGTGTCGAAGTGTTTATCTATAGAAACCAGGTAAATATTCTAGTGTAGATAAAGCAGTTAGCCCGTTACACGATTGTATCGATCTCGACGGCTGCTTGAACCACCCGCTGTCGAACAAGTAGATTGCTTCTTAATCGATAAACCGTTTTCTGCATTATCTACTACGATTAATAATAATTTTATTGTTGAATTTATCTTTAATATATAATTTAAATTATAAATGATTGTTTGCAACAAATAGTTGATAATATTTTTCTTAATGTGACTCAAATAAATTTACAGCAACATTTCTAATACAATTTCGAACTTTCCCACTCATCGCGAAGATTTCGATCTCACGATTTAAATTACAAATTTTTTTTTTAACAAGTCGTAGGAGGATATTCGAAAATTTAGGACAAAGGATCATACTTGGAACGTCGAAGGGCATAGAGAACATACAGACGATTCTTTCAATTCAATAAAATTCTCATTAATGCCATTCGTACATTTCGAACCTTATTATTTTAAATACCGTCACAACTCGCGACTTTTACCGTACGAAAATTATACGTCGAGATCAAAGTGTAAACGGACACCCGAAACTTGCTCGCCACACCCAAACGCCGCCGTTTCTGTCTCGAGAAAATCGAAATTCATCTGCAAATACTTAGTACATACGCAGTGTGCACGCTATTCGCAAAAATTTCAAATTTTTCGCAGAAACGCTTCTCCGCCTTCCCGCGCGAATCTCGTTTCGATATCTCGCCATCAAACGATCTTGAAAGAACAGGATTTATAAAATGATCGCTATTATGTATCTCTGTGGACTTGATTCTAAGATCGTAAAAACGTGTGTAGCTCGAAAGTACATTGTGAGCAAAGCGCCATCGTCCTCTCTCTCCCATTCCCTCGATAAATATATGTATATTATATAATATTATATATAATATATATATTAAATGTATATATATATATTAATATTATAGATATATGTATAAATTTATATAACATATAAATGTAATATTAAATATAATATACATAAAAGTGCTTGCAAAGTAGATCTCGTTCGTAGCGTTGCACAGAGTTACCTACTTTCTCGCAGAGAAGAATGATATAATTTATACAATTTATAAAAATCATGAGCACTGGGACTCGCTGGAAAAATTATTACTTGATGGATTATTAATCGTAATCTCTCCCTCTCGTTTTCGCTCGGCCCTCCGCGACAAGCCCGAGCAAAACGACAAAACGACTAAAACGATTTCGACGCGCTACTTCGCGCAGCGGCCAAGATACTATTCGATCGGCATTGAAATTATACTAGAGCTACCGCTATAAAGACTATGTACAAATGAGTTAACCGACGAATAATTGTAAATAGAACAACTCGCATTGAACGCCGACAATATAAATCCCTAGCAATACAAATAAATTAATTGCCCCCCTACGTGTGGTAGCGCTACGCGTGATTCTTCTCGAGATGTATCCTAAAGATGATATATTATATACTCCTCTTGGATTATTTTTCGAAATATAAAATTACATGCCGCTAAAAAAACCTAATGTTTTAATTATTGCGATAAAAGATTCCCTAGCGTTTTAAAAAACTGCAGAAAGCAATATCCTCCCGTGAACGTACAGCGCATGCAGCAGGCCAGAAAAGACGCAACGTTAATTTCAACTATGTAAATAAAATTCGTTTTATGCCATTAATTGCCGTTACAACTTTGAAAAATATATGGTGTCTGTCAATCTTACTTTCGAACGGTAGAGTTTTCGTGAAGTGGAATTTTAATAAACTGTACAGAGCTTTAAATGCGCGAAAACTCGGGAAGAAAAGAGTGCAAAACTCATTCTATCGTATGCGGAGTATTGATGTACGAAATAATGATAAATATATTCGCTACTGTAAAACGTCTTTTCTTACTAGTCCAACGTAACTCCTCGATAATGTACAATAAATATTGCTGCGTAATTTCCATATTTGCGTGTCAAAAATCATTCTATAAATTAATCTCGATATAGATATAAGGATTTCGTAATACATAACAGGTTTTTAAAGAACATTTATCTCTCACTTATTCACATATCCCCCTACAATCTCACGTAAAAATCTCGCTTCTGTCCCTGTACCGTAAAAGCTACGCGATCTCAGTCGAATGTATATGTGACCAAACGTAAATTCTAAAGTAGAAATAATATATTGTACAATATGTCTCTCGCGTCACCCGTCTCGCGGCTATGTAAAAGATCTTACCTATAATTAAATCCTTTTAATTTTAACAATAAGAAGCAGTCTCTCTCTGTAACAGTGATTACCAACTGATCGGATTAATTCCAGTCTGAATAGCGTGATATGTACACAATATTCTCAGTGTGTGATGGCAATAAATAATTATATTTAATATTAGTAGAATCGAAGTCGAGTCATTATATTTAGTATTAGTAAAATGCACGTTTGACCAGATTGCACGAGTATTGCATCTCTTCTTTATCACTTAATCAGTTGATAATCTCTCGTTGTGTAAAACAAAAAAAAATGTACGCTATATATGTATACATATATATGTTGGCTAAACGTAATCCGCTAAAGAAACGTAAGATAGGAAAATAGTGCCTCGGCAGATCCTCTAGCTCGATCAGTCTACTTTAATTCGAGAGTCTCATCTCGCACGACCGTCCTTACGTATTTTCCCTACGTGTTTTCTAGTCAATAGTCCGACTAAGGCCTACAAATCTAGAGTGCTTGCTCATAAATATGATATGTCGAGTAAAATGTAGTATATGTATATATATATCTACGGATGTGATGATAGGACTTGAATATTGTAGCAGGATTAATTACGTGGAGCCGCGCGTGTGTGTGTGCCGGCATCGGTGTTGTCTCAACATTATTTATACACTTTGACTATAATTTCCCAATATGAAAAGGAGCTAATACGAACGCCGTATGGTCCCGACGATAAATTTCGTTTAAGCATGCTTAAATTTTCGTACTCCAATTGGAGTCTTTTGCTTAGACGTATTGTAAATCCTCGTGACTCGGTGTCACGTCAAATCGAGAATCGCGACACCGACACAACTCGCTCCACGGCCAAGTTTACAACGAATTGAGATTTTCTTAAGCAGAAACAATCGATTCCCGTCAGAATTTTCATCGGGGGAAATCGTCTCCCAGGACAATCAATGGAATGTATAACGTTCACGTGTCGATAATCGTCTCTTTCCACTTCCCCCGACGAGACGTTCGTAAACCTCGGCCCGGATATTAATCTCTCGTGTACATATATATATATATATATCGATCGTCAACAGTCTGATATGAAAAAAAACTCACTAACCGTGATGGGACGTGAACATTTATCCTATTAAATCTGCCGACATCCTCTCCATCTTGATGAACTTCTCGGAGTGTATCTTCTGAATTCCAACAGGCGAAGATCTTCGTGTGTCGGACTTCCTTACGTTCTTATTGCCTGGAAATAAATCGTCGTCCTTTTTCCAAGGAACTCTCTTTACATTCTTTCCTGCTTGCCAGTGTCATCCGTTGTCGGTTGTCAGCGACGATAAAACTTTAGCAAAGTTTCTCCAAGTGGATTACACAGATATTACATTTTATATATATTTACGTCAAGACGTGCGATCCTGGTTCTTGTAGAAAATAACGTTCTACATTTTGATATACATGTCACTAGAAAGTCAGACGCACACGTTCAGATATATATATAATTGATCGTATCGTAAGCTTGAAGACGATTAATGTTGAAGATGATAATCTCTTTTACAGCTACGAAGCTTTTCTATCTTTTTTTTTGTTCCTCGTTCGAGAGTCTTCATCTACAGGAATTGAAATTTCATTCGGCAGCGTTTACATTACGTGAATCATGTCTCTCTTCCCTTGTCTCTCTCATTTACCGAATTAGCGTCTAGTTAGTAGATCTAGTGCATGCTAATAAATCGGTAACAAGCGGAAGTACTGAGCATACAATTGCCCGATTACTTTCCCTTCATAGGAATGTTTCCTGCGCACGAAGTGACGTTACCATTTCTCTTCTCGCGCAAAAACATATGATATGATTTGCTGTATCATAATCGGCATCAGTATGCGAATATTCGTGTAGTGTCCTGCGTGATTAAATCCGAGTGAATAGGTAGCTTCCGCAAACTATATTTTGGAATATATTCCAAGTTCCACGTCATGCATCGATATTATTTAATCTATAGATCGAAAGTAAGAACAGCTATGTAAGTTCTATAAGCGTTGTCTGGAATAATAATTAGAGATATCAAACTCCGTTGCCGATACACACCTCCTCTAATTAATGTTTCTTAATGTATACGATATATCATTACGGATGACTGTGCATCCTCTATTAAAATTGACACGTTTCATGGCATAAGCCTTATTAAAATAGTTGCACATATGTGTGTCCTTTGCTCAATATACTTGCGTAACGGTTTAAATATCGGGTTAGATCGCCAAAGGTAAAATAGCGAAGTAATTATGTTAATTTCAGAGTGACTATCTTGCGCACGGAAACGTCCGTGTCAGACATGATCTTGAAATTATTTTTCTTTGAATTTTAATCCTATCGCAAAATTATTCGCGTATAGCGTCATCCGATCACGTTCCAATAGGATACAAGAGTACTTTGATCCAACTTTAAGTTACTCTCTATCGTTAGCAAGCTAAAGTCGCTGTGAACGTTCTGTGCGCTTCAAATATTTGCATGTGCCGCCAGAGACAACAGTGCTTTCATTATTACTTAGGATATGTCACTTTGTACAAAGTCTCATCTTCTAAAAAATTTTTTCCTTTTGATCAATAAATTATTGACATGTTTTGAACATCGTTTTTTTTTTTTCGAATAAATTCTAAGGATGAAGAATAAAGAATCGCCCGTCTTCTTCTCCTCTGCGCCTCTGACGCATTTGAGATTATTCTTTCTGAGAATTCACATTCGTCAGATGATTAAAGTGCCACATAAGTTTCGTACGCAAATACGAATTTTTAGCTTTAGATAATACGTCAGTGTTGCTGATACTCTTTTCTACTGATGGAAAGTTTACAAGAAGACAGTATGAGTATGAGGCAATTTGAAAGTTATTACGCTAGCGATCAATAGTGCCAGCGCAGTCAGTAGTGCGGGCGCGATTAGTGGCGTACCCACCAATGTCTGATATGTCGTGGTTCCTATCAGACCTGATATTCTAATAGCTGCCGCTACGAGCCCAAAACCGGTACACCTGTAGAAACACATTAATAAATGCTTTGTCACGAGATAACTTTCGATATTCTTTCCTGTAATGTCCTGCAGATTTTTACGTCTTTACCTTAAGTGTGTGGGGAAGCTCTCAACTGTCACCAAAGTCAATGATGTCCACCCAACGGCAAAAAGGGCTGTGAAACCACCTTCGAAACCAAGAACTGCCGAACTGTTTTGGCGAATTAATATCAGACATAACGCGGTAACGGAAGAGAGGAAAAGCGAGAGACCTAGTGGTGAAGGAATAAGTGTCGGTTAGTTGACGTTATGCTTCAAATCCGCTCGCTATCTTCAACGAAAATTATTAACTAACCAATTAGTTTTGGCCGCTGAAGAACGGTAAGTGCCAAGCCAGCCATCGTGGCGGCGGGCACGAAAGCCAATTGAGCAACGAGGTGAGCATGCAACGCCTCTTCGATATAAATGTTATAATCGAGATCGAGAGTCGGACAGGACCCGAGTAAACTCAGCTCCGTGTTATTCATCAATTTACATCTGGTGAAAACTTGGGCTGATAAATCTGTGTCAACAAATCTGTAACAAAAAGTATAAAAGGTCCATATTTCATATTAACGAATATAAAACTTTAGAATATATTGTATAAATGATGTTACTTACTTTGAATATACAATAACACTGTCTCTAAAGTGGGTTTTACTAGACCTAATGCTACTGAACTTCACCGATTGGAAGGTACAATTGTCGAAATCGACATGATTGAAAACCATTTTAGTAAATCTGCAAACATTTAGAACTTATATTTGTACATACATTTAGAAATTATATTTATACATAGGAAATTTAGAACTTATATTTATATATTTACATTTAGAAATTATATTTATGTAGGAAAATATTGATATTCGTTTTCTCGCTCGAAATAACATCCGTACCTGCAGTTCAAAAATGTAGAGTCTTTGTACTGACGATTTTCCCAAGAACCAGTGAACGTTGTACCATTAAACTCCTCGTTCTGATAGTGTTCGGTATGAGCCGCGTATTCCCTCGCTCGCAAAAGCTTCAGATATTCGGGACACCATACCATAAGACCATAAAGACTGAACACAGTATGAATAGAGTGAGTTTATGAAATTCTTGACAAACAGTAATTACTTCAAAATTAGCTAAAAATCTACCTGAATGAAGCAGCGGTCCAGATAATTAACAGTACCAAAGTCACGCGTAGGTGAGGCGTTGCAAATAACTCCAAGAAAGAGTTCCAGAACTACAGACAAAGAACAAGTAAATCTAACAGTCAAGATATCTCCATATCTGGTGGTATTCCCTTTAAGAATATTTACCATTTCGATCGAATATATTATGTCGGCCAAAACGCTAGTGTGACTGCTAGGAGACGGCGGCGCCAAGCCACGAGGTCTTTTAGTCGGTAGTTCGAGTTCGGAGAGTTGATACTGAGCACCTGTCGCACCTTTCCGGGCATTATTTTTCTTATATATCCTCTGAAACGATAAAGGTATCGATAAGTTTGGATATTAAATACTAAGGAATTAATTTTGACGTCGTTTATATTTTTATGCATCTTTACCTGATAAACCATCATTGCCTCCACATCTCGACCGGCCTCTATGAGATACCTCGGACTTTCCGGTAGAAAGATGAGACCGATCGTGGAGCACAGTGCTGGCAGACAACATAGTAACAAGAAACGATGCCAGGCACTGAAGTGTTCCTTATTCTCCAGGACCACCATCTCACCCGTCGTGGGTACCACTGCCCAAGCCAAGAGGGCGGCGTAAACACCACCGAGGGCACACGCCCCCACGAGTATTCCCGTCCAGCGGCCTCTGCTCAACCGTGGACAGCATTCCGCGAGATATACGAATGCCAGTGGTACAGCTCCGCCGACTCTGTAATAAAATATATATAAATTAGTATATAATATAAATTATAAATCGTACTAAATAATAATGATTGATTCCTTCAAATAGCCGCACTAAATAATATTTGAATAGCCGCTTTAGTTTCTGCTTCAAAAAATACTGAGAATCGTATGTGTATTTTAGTCAACAAATGCAAGAAATTACTTACCCAAGAGCCGAGCAAAATCTAGCTGTCATAAAAGTGCCGTAGGTGGGCATAAACGTTGCGACACCGCTGAACAAAGTGTGCACGGACATGGCCGAGAGGAGGGACCTGCGCCTTCCCAGCCTGTCGCCCAGGCCGCCCCAAAATAATCCACCCAGTGCCAGGCCGACGAGAGTAATGTTTCCTGGAAAATCATGTCGTTCGGCGTCGCGAAATAAACTTTTAAACAAAAACAACTCACCGAGCCATCCCTTCTCGTTGTCCTCGATGCAAAGCTCAACCTCTGCGCTCGGCAGTATGTAGGGTACAACGAAGATTTCGACAGTGTCGGCTGCCAGGCTCAGACCCGTGCAGAAAGCGGCGAATATTTGGAAATAACCAACGCCAGCCTGCAAAAAAAAAAAACGTCACATCCCGTGTTTGTTGACACGCAATATTTTGTATTACAAAGTTAACATTTGCCAAACATCCGCGCGAGTAAAAAACATAGAATGCACACGTAATCCCTCAGATGTCAACATTGTCAATTTTAAAAGGATGCTCCGTTCACTACTTTGACATACGAGTAAACAACAGGTGTATCGATAATGCGATCGTTTTTAATAATTATTGCTTAAAAGGTGCATTAGTCTTTTTTTTGCTCCGCGACGTGTAACATCAAGTGAAGAATATTTACTGGGAAATCCTTCAAATAGCCCGGTACTTCGCGCGGTACATATTTTGCCTTGACGATCGACTCGTCCAGGACTTCGTCCATTTCTGCAGGGAGAGAGAGGTCTCGGCTCGCGAGGACAGGAGAGTCATTCACTTCGGGCGGAGCGTATCGTGAACGAACGACGCCATTTCGCCTAGGTTATGTTTTCGTTCCGCCCGCATATTTTTAACACCGCGCTCGACGCGCCGACGACGGACGGAGAGCCAATCGAGCGATCGGCTCTCGATCGATACGTCGACACGCGTTTCTCGATAGTGAATCAGCGGTCGAGATCCCGTCATGTCCTTTCAAATGACTCATGGCCGCTGTTGCGTCGCGGTGAATGCAGGAGATAACGACGCGTTAATTATGCCAGGAGAAATACGCCGTGATCTCGCTGAGACGAGAGGTGATTTAGGTAGGCAGTCGATAATTTTGAGCTTAAAAGACGAACGCGTGTCGTAGACGCGATGTTAAAAATATCCCCCGCTCGTCGGGATGTTTGTATGCAGGGCGATTTATGGGGAAGAAAAGATGGCGAAATCTCGCCGGAAAGATTCGGGAGATTCGACCGGAGCGACCGAGGCAAAAGATTGCCACATCCACGATCAGGCGAGATCGCACCTGCTTGATGGCGTCCTCGTGAAACTGCGCCAGGAGGGTCGCGTCCGCGGTGGAGTCGATGAGGTCGTGCTCCGCGGAGTCGGCCGAGGCCGAGTTGACGCCGGCCGTGGCGACCCCCGCGCTCGCCGGCTGCGTCGTCATCTCCTCGGTGTAGAGGCCGGACCTAGTGCTCGCCCCGCGCTCGCCGGGGGCGCCCGTTTTCGTCGCGCTGCCGCCGCCGCCGGAGGGTGCGAGGCCGCCCCCGCTGCCAACGAGCCACTGGCTTTCCTCCTCCGATGAGGGCATCACTGCCAGAAACCATCTGGAAGCGGAGATCAACGGATGTATAATGAGACAATGACCGGGGCCGGGGAGCGCGCTGGATCGGCGGAATGCCTCTCGTTAATCCCATCCTAGCTGACGTTATGCTACTAATACCGCTCTAATTACACCGCCCGCGTCTCTCTCTCTCTCTCTCTCTCTCTCTCTCTCTCTCTCAAAATTAATGGCTATCGCGCGGCGCGGTTCTACCTCCATTTCTATATATAGGTATTACTCTCGGCGCGTCAGCTCAATTCTGAACTTGAAATCGCAATGTCTACATTCTACAATAATGACAGAAAGATAGTTTGCCGGTCTTGGTACGTCGCGCTCTGTATTAATATTGATAAGATAAAATGAGCGAGCCGGGCGGAGATAAAGGTATAGGAACGGTTGAGTCAATATTGACGTTTGAAAGACAAAGCCGGAAGTTGGACGAGAGGGCGAAACGAGAGAGAAGCGGCGGGCGCACACAGCTTGCACACAGTTTGCTAGAATAAGCTGATTTTCTTCGACGGAGGCACATCAGAGGGCCCGTAACGTATTCTATATACAGCGCGCGTCATCGTGACTTTCGCGGCTGCAGCCTTTTTATGGTTTTATTTGCACTCGCGACGCTTCGTTTGACTGACGTTATCGATATAACATTAAACGGTACTTTGCGTCGCGACGAAGCGTGAAGAACGATCATCGGGAAATATATTTTAATTACATTATAATTGTATCTTATATAGGTCGAGCATTTGTTGAAAATCCTAGTGACAGCTGTATGTAGACGCGTCTTAATAACACTCGTATTATACGGTCGTAGGGTTTTATCACGCGGCGCACGTGCAGCTTTTGCTTTGGAGAGGCATGCGTCACGTCTCTTGTCTATAAGCGCGGTTCACTGACCAAGGTTCATTGTGCACGATATTCGTCGCGAGCGACAAGTGAAATATTCAACATTCGCGGCTTTATTTCGTGCCCGTGGTCGCGAGCCGGCGATAAATGAGCATTTGCATATTTTACGACCGCGCGGAAGAGAGAGAGAGAAACTCGCGGTACCTACATTTACATATCGCGACGGTAATCGGAGTATTCCGTACGAATTATTGCGCAAGAAAGATTGAAGCTATATCGCTTTTATAAAAAGATTTTACGTGCCCTCGTAAATAATTTTATGCATCGTATTTTTTCTTTTTTACAGGTTTATGTAGTTTCGCGCGAAATTGCTCTCCCTTGGCTCGGCTAATAATCCATCTTTGCGGCGCGGAGTATCTTACGGCCTCACCACGCTGACCTTACTCTCCGCGGTCGTCGGTACAAAGTAACCGGAGCGGCTTTCGCGTGCATTTACTCCGATGGCTATAATTCAGCGTTTGTGTTCAGCCCGCATTGAAGCACGCGGAGGTCGTGCGTCCTTATCCAAGGCTGACTAATTCCCGGAATTGGCCCCTGCAAGACCTGCCGGCAAACGCGCGCGCGTATATAGGTTCTCTCTTTCGCGTGTCCTTACATACTGATTCATCGATCTGCATTGAACTTTATACACGGCTTTCAAGTAGGTACGTAGGTATATACATAGAAGTTTGATGAAAATTGCAGTGTACGTAGAAGTAGATATAGGAGAACCGCGAATTTTTTTTTGTGAGAATAACAGCTAAGGCTTCTCTAATGTCGACGAAAGTAAAACAATAAAATTGTGTGTAAAAAAAATAATGTATGTTACAGGAAGTGCCTCATTAACGCTTTGCTAGCCGCGGACAAAATACTCGCCCTTATCAGGGCTCCTTTATCTCGTGAAAAGGTGCAGTATTACGTCAACGGTTCCCAGCTGTGAACAAAAAGAATGCGTGCTGCTACGTCAACGATCGCAAAAAAAAAGACGTTAAAATTGTAACTGCGGCGGCGAGACGGAAGCCCTAACGCTATAACTCTCTCGATACGCATCACGATTGAACGTCGCTGCAGCGATTCCGATTTCCGGGGACATTTTCATGGTACGCGGTTTATAATTAGTGTTACATTTCGCAAAACGCGTCGGCGCTTTGTTGCGGGCGCGACCGCGTATACGTACACGATTTATCGATCCGAAACCGATTACACGGTTCCGTGGCGCGCGTAGACCCGTGTATACATTTTCCGACACAGAGATACAAGCGTGCGCGCGCGAGTCATGAGCGTACGCGTCAAGTTTTGTGTATGTGTGTGTGAGAGCGTCGCGCATATGCACGTGCACATGTCACTTCGCGACCGCCAATGTCGCCGACAGTCACGGCCGCGCGCGCGGGACTTCGCGTTTTCGCAGTCCTCTATTTTCTCGCCGTTAGTTATTTTTGAAACGCGACCGTATGTATGTACAGCAGCGTCCGTCATCGGCAGACATTAGCCGTTTTGTCTCTACTCGCCTTTACACACGAGAGCGCCTCTTATATATAGGAGAGAAATATATATAATCTATATTTTACTCGGATGAGACAGAGAGACAGAAAGAGAGAGAGAGAGAGAGAGAGCAAGAGACAGAAATGCATTCGTTTCGGAGTCGATTTTTCTTTAGCGTTTAAATTCCCCACGTGGTTTACATGCCAATTTCAAAACATTGTCTGATTTATCTCGGGACGCGTTCGCTCCGACGCGACGGAGAGAAATTTCGTATGGGACGTTTACTTGCTAAAATATTCAATGTTGCAAATTGAGCGAGTCTCGAGTCGAATGACGAATGACATCCTGTGACGTTTTTCGCTAAGGAGAGATCGGCTCCGAATCGCATGCCAGAAATTTGTCTGAGATGCGTGTATGAATACACATATGCAAGAGCATAATATTTTATTATTTTACGTTTTTGTAAGAATATACAACTTCTCAGAGAGAAGTTCGCTTTGGAGAAGTTGCACAAATCCAGATAGCAGTTTCTAAAAAAAAATGACACGTTAATTTATTTACGAGCGAAGTTAATTTATCACGCTGTCGAAGGGGCGAGAAAAAATACTCGATAGTTAATTAATACGAGAATGGCGAGAAATATTATATATGCCGCGAGCGGTCTCGAGCTGATATCTCTGCTGCAGGCTTCGCTAGTCGCGGACTCGTACGATTGCGTGCTCATTATCGCCGTATTCGGCCGTTACGCTGTCGACACATATGTGCCGCACGTGGGACCGACGCGATATGCATAGATAAGTGCCTCCGATGAACACGAGCCAAATGACGACGCGTCGCGCGTAGCGCGGCAGAGGGAATTAAGCGCGCGCGACACGCGATTTATAAAGCTTTTATATTCTTGGGCACACGAGGCGCGGAGTTCATTTCGATTATCGCGCAAAACCGGTCGTCGAGAAGGATATCTGCGTGTATCTATTAATTTGCTAATAACTTGTTTCTTTCGAAACTGTAATTAACGATGCTCATAAACAGGAAACGAGATCGGGATAAAAAAAAAAGGGAAAATCTGTGTTAACTGCGGCCTTCACGTTCAAACGGTTTTACAAAGTAGCGCAATTGTATTAATGTCAACGAGAGAGTTTTCAGCGAATAGCGATAGTATATATAACATTAAACACCGAGATAACTTTCCAAACGTAATGTAACATTTATCGCTTTCTTGCTCTATCAATCAAACTACTCCCATCGAGGCCGGTCTTGTACGTCTCTTCGCGTTGGCCACGTCGCGCGTTTGTTTGGACTTTGCAGATAGAAGAGAGAGAGAGAGAGAGAGGAAAAAAATTCGGAGAGATATAGAAAGCACAACCGAGAGAAATAGCTACGCACATGCATGCATGCATGCATGCATGCATGCGTGCATACACTCGTACATACGTCGCGGTGCGGGCGCGAATTAATATCATTAGAGCCGCTTATCACGGACGCTCTTATCGCGCCGCGCGTAAATCACCCACCTGGTTGATAGGGAGTCGCCGTGAAATTACTGCACCTTCCCAAATGATAATGCCGTTTCTCTGCTCGCAGATTTCGCTGGGATGGAGAAAATCGGGCGCGCCGCAGCTCGCGTAATTGGATCAAATTCTCGTGGATCGTCGTAGCTATCGATCGAGAGCAATATCGCTGTCAAATGCGAACGGCGAGGATTATCGGCGGCACTAGGAGTCCGACTCTCGAGGATGAAATGATATAGCTGCGGCTACAACTGCAGTTTTATTCGACGGCGCACTTCGTCGCCAACACTTCGCCGTCGATCGTCCGTCACGGAGTTGTCACGCACTCCGCATCCTTATTATAGATATGTGTATCAGCGGCAGCGCAAGTGTGAACGCAATCGAACGCGCGAATAATTTTTACGTAACGATTCCGAACGGGTGATTCGTCCAACCAGCGACGTTCGACGTCTCTCTCGTCGGGATTTAATCTCATACAATATTTATATAACGAATGATATATAGACGTTCAGGATAATGTGACGACGGTCGTATATTAAATTGAGCGTAATCGCGCGAATACTTCAAGGAGAGGCAATTGCGTCTCTATCTCCCGATACATATATCTCCTTTCGTCGTTTCGACGCCGACCTACCTCAACGAGCGCGCGATTGCCGCGATCTTCAGTACCACCACGTTAAAACCTTCCGCGAGACGAGTATCACCGCGCGTACGTCACACTCGGACGCGTATATCTCCCCGTTATAAATTATATGTATAGATATAACGGAGTTCCTCTCGCGAATTTAACACGCTCCTCTCCTCTTGTCGGAGGATACGGCGCACCATCACCAGGGACCACCAACGTCGTCGGAGCCCGCGTCCTGTCGCGTTTCGCGCGCGTCCGCCCGTGTCCTTTCCGTGTCGTGTTGGGTCGGGGGATCGATTCTCGGCGGAGCGGGAGGCGCGGCGCCGCGCGGAAACGCGCCTTTCCGAATGCGAGAGATCGCGAAACGCTCCGCAGCCGTCGGATATATATGCTTTTCTCGTGCGCGGTCTCTATATCACGATAACGCGCCGCGACTGGCATGACGGGCGTACCGGTCGCTCCCGGCGACGGCCCGCGAGGTACGTACGACCCGGTAACATTTTCGCAGTACGGGGGAAACAACACTGGCCCGCCGCAAGCCGCAAACACTGCCGACGACGGCACCACGCCGCCTGCGCCGCGTATCGATTTGCGTCGCGACGCCCGACACGAGTCGTCAGTAGCGCCTTCGCCCCGATCGGAGTTCCCCCTGCGAATCATTAGCCTGATAATTACTAACGAGATGGTCCCCTAAACTCGACGCTGCCTCCCGAATGTGATTCTGGGCAGAGTACTTTGTAAATATGTCGATTTTTCGTGCACTGCTGAAAATATCAAAGAGAATCAGAGAACAATACTCTTGAAAATTTTATTTGATAAGAGAAAAAATATTTTATATACCTATTAAGAAAAAGTAAATGGTGTTTCATTTCTTGTATTTTTAATATTTCTCAATTTCTCATATTCGAGCTTAATCTGCTAAATATATATAGAATTAGTGTGGAATGATATCTATATAATACATAAAGATATATATATACATATTTTTATTGGCCTACAGTATTCGTACAAGAGTGCATTTTTTAAAAATACTGCCGTTCAGAAAAAGTACAATTCGGAAGTTGCAGGTCTGCTTACTCTCCACTACTTTAGAAAGTACATAAACGTATTCTGTCGACGATATTTTAAAACAATCTGTATTAACATTTACAATTCATTAAAATCATTCATATTATTTGTTACAAAATTCTAGAAATAGGATTGTAGGATTATAAAATTCGAGTAATCTTGCAAACAATTTTATTAATCCTCATCGGAATCCTCGTTCGCTGCCGCCGCTTTTTCCTTCTCTTCCATTTTAGTTCGTGCAATAAGTTCCTTTGCAGGATTAAAAGTGCCGTTAGTCTGGGTATTGCAGATGTAACATCGCGTACTTTTCCTGTATTGTTCCAAAGCACATTTTTCGCAAAAATAATGCTTGCATCTAAAAAAAAAAAAATGAATTAGTCATCAAAGATCTATGACAAGCGTCGAAAAAAGCGATGAAGATTTAACAATCATACTTGGTAACAACAGGATCTGTGAAACTATTTCTACAAATAAAGCATTTAAACGGCAAGTTGTCCTCGTCGCTGTCAATCTCGTATTTCTTATCGTCCTCGTCTCCGCTGTCATTATATTCGCCGGAAGCAGCTTCTCTCTCCAATTGCCAACCCAATTTATAGTCCGACCGATCGTGTAAGAATTTACAGCTGTCTGTAGAATGAAAGAAGAATTTATAGATATTAATACTAATTAGAAGTGGTAAGATTTTATTTGAAGAGTAATTAAAATATGACGTGCCTCCGAAACCACAGAAACCAGTCTCTTTGTAATCCTTGCATATGTCAGGTTGATAATCCCACCTCACCGTCGCTCTGAGATTGGATGGCGCTCGAATTGGTCCCTTGCGCACCATTCCGCTGGATGCATTTCCAGCCGCAGTATCCTTCTTCTTGTAGTACTGCGCGTAATTGTTCAGGCCCCGATAAATCTTGTCGTCCTCTTTCCCCTCCAGCTCCTGGCAAACGAGAAAAAAAAACAAATATTACTAATTTTGCTCTCCTAATCAAATTCAATTAATTCGACGAATGTCATTTCCACTCGAAAATATACCTCGTTAATTTTTTGGGCCTTCTCAAACAGTGCCTGCGCGTCCCTGTCTTTCTCCGTTTCCGTCTGAAGAATCGACGTCGCTCCCTGATCGCTCGGGCCGGCCGGTAGAGCTGTCCTGTTACTTTTATAGGACACAGTCACGCCGTCGTCCTCGCTACTGTCATCTCCGTCACTGACCTTCTCCCGGTGCCTCTTCACGTTTGTCTGACAGAGAAACAGGGATCAAACTGCGTTTCCATAACGTTACACGTGTCTCTTATGTGGAATTAATTATTGTACGCTGACGACACTGTGCATTTAAATGTCCTCCCGATGAGGATTAATAAAACTGTTTATATCTGAATTTTATAATTTTACAATGCTATTTCTAGAATTTTGCAACAGATAATACGAACAATTTTAACGAATCGTAAATGTTAATGCAGATGTAGTTGTGTAGTTTATGATATTGTCAAAGATGGGAAAGGGAAGGAGCTATTTACGCGTTTCACGGCGCGGCGTGGAATACTCACGCTTTGTACCATGGGATTGCGCTCCTGCTTCTTCTCCTTCTTAACCACCATAGTCTCATCCTCGCTGCTATCTACGTAGAGGAATTAATCAAACAAACGTTTATCCACGCGACGTCTTTTTACACATAACCTAAAACTTAACGATTCGGCCAGACCTTAAAGAATCCGACAGAGGTAAGGGCGACACGCAGGTAGCTTGACCTATGTTTATTAACGACGACTCACCATCGCTGCCGTCCGCTCCTTTCCGCTTCCTCGTGGCATTACTCCGGATTTTACGTCTTTTAAATAGAAAGGTGCAGTTCTTCTTCTCCGGCTCTTGCACCGCGTCCTCCATGTTTGTTTCGTAAACACTGTTGGTGACAACGCACGTAAACACACCATCCTGCATCGTTCCTCCGCGCGTCGCGACACTCTCGTGCCCGGCCGGATTGTTTTCTCTCCCCGCTGCTCGCTCCGCTTGTTTCCCGGCGCGTCAAAATACGCGGCCGAAAAGTCGACCGATATAATTCAGGCTCAGTTCGCGTAAGTTCACACAAAAGATGCGTTCTCGGTCGCGCGAACTCCGCTCGCGTGAGTTACGGTCAGGTTATGTATTCCGACCGATATGTATACGCGCTATATTTTTAAACGTTGTGCCTTACAATTAGTTTAGATAAAAAAACGAACACGATTGCCTCATTTGTAATATATTAACGTAATTGTGGCACTCCAGCGAGGCTAAAATATGTCACGCTGAGTTATTGATTATTCCGAAAAGCGGTGAATTTATTGCGGATTAAACGAGAGAGAGAGAGAGAGAGAGAGAGAGAGAGAGAGAGAGAGAGAGAATCTATATATAAACATACATGTATATTTTATAAATATTTGTAATTATATTGTTTGTGACATTGCATCGCGATTTGTAAAGCGTCTTAAAAATAGTACTTAAAAAAAAATCGATAAACTCCCGTCATTTGCAGGTCTTCCAATCCTTTCCCGAGCAGTTTAAGACCAGCGAGAACGATGAGCAAGAAGAAAAATATGGCAATTGACTTCCAAGACAATATGATACTGCTGACACGAAAGTACTTGAAGCGTAAGATAATGTGTCCCGAAACCAAGTTCAGGCATCACGTTAACGAGCGGCTGAACGTGCTGGATTTGGTGAAGCGTACCGTTGAAATAGGCGAGAGCAATTCGGTCTTGTTGGTTGGACCCAGAGGCAGTGGCAAAACAACGGTAGTTATCATTTGCGATTATAAAATAGTGATGCACCCTGATATACACTCTGCATTCTAATTAAAATTAATGAAAATTCATTTATGTGATTCCAGCTTGTTAACAGCGTCTTAAAGGAATTGTCTGCCTTGAAAAGTTTTAAGGACAACGCGCTGATAGTGAATCTCCATGGACTGGTGCACACCGACGACCGTTTGGCGCTCAAGGATCTAACTCGTCAGATGCAGCTGGAGAACGCCGTTGGTGACAAGGTTTTTGGCACGTTCGCGGAAAATCTAAGCTTCCTCTTGGATTGCCTGAAATCTGGCGATAAAAACCGCTCGAAACCAGTCATTTTCGTGCTCGACGAGTTCGATCTGTTTTGCGGACATCACAATCAGACGTTGTTGTACAATCTGTTTGACGTCGCTCAATCTGCACAGGTAAGCGTTTAAATATATCGGGATGAAGAGGAGCGTAAGAAAAAAAACCATGTAAATTTCAAATACTTTTGTTGTCTGTAGGTGCCGATATGCGTACTAGGGATAAGCTGTAGATTAGACGTCATGGAGCTGCTGGAGAAGAGAGTCAAGTCGAGATTCTCGCATCGCCAGATATTTTTGTTTCCCGGCGACACGTCAGCCTCGGAGCAACCCATGTCCGCGTTCGACAGCCGTCTGGAGCTCTTTCGGGACCTCCTCAGCTTACCGGACGACGAGAATGTAAATAAAGTGGAGCAGCAGTACGACGATTGTACGATAGATCCGCACTTTGGCTCTATGTGGAACAACTATATCAAAAGTTTAATCACCAATGTTACGATGGTGAATTTACTCAAGAGGATGTACCATATCGACGTGAGCGAGAGGAGCTTTAGAAATTTTCTCGCGGTCGCTGTCTCAACGTTGTCGGAGAAGCATCAGAAATTGGAGGTGAACGATTTCGTGGAAGCGAGTAAAATCTTTTCGGAGGATGACAAATTGCTAATACTCGAGGGACTGTCCATTTTGGAAATGTGTTTGGTACATTCTTTGCAATTATTTTCCACCTTAAAACTAGCTTTATTTGACAGCAAATGGAACACTTATATCCCGATCTTGTCACAGATAATAGCAATGAAACACGAGACGGAGATTTACGACGGCGAGCCATTGAATTTCGAAGCGATATACAATCGTTATATCAAGTTCGTAAATCAGAATTCCTCCATACAGTCTGTCCAGAAACCAGTTATCATGAAAGCGTTTGAGCATATTAAGGTAAGGGACGTTTCTATATTGACGCTTCTATATTACTTGTGATTCTTGAAAAGAAAAGATGGATAAACATATATATTCTGTAGAACTTGGAGATCTTGCTGCCAGTCGGAAGTACGAATACGAAGTTCGAGAAAGAATATCAATATTACAAATTCACGTTAACATCGCAGCAAGTTATTGAGGCTGTGAAAAACTATTCAGGTCTTCCCACAGAAGTTTCTCAGTGGGCGTCAAGCAGTATATAATAACGATATAACGATAAGTATTCGACCTATTGTGTTCCATAAAACTACATATTACGTGTAATTAATAAGTTTCAATTCACATAGCGAGACGTATTTATAGAATCAATTTAGATATAGGTATTTATATCACTTTAATAGAAGGAATCAACTTGGAATAGTGTAGGAATCGTTAATGTGCTAATCTTTTAGATACATTTTTTTATATGTTGGATAATTGAGTTTATCTCTCTCTTCATATTCCTAATTAATAATCGCCGTAAAAACGAAGTACTATACGAAGAAAATTACGAAGACGCAACGTTTTATCTACATATTATGCCCTCCAAAAAAAAAAAAAAAACGTGTGATACTCTAGTCTTACATCTCTAGAATATTCCCATTCATACACGTGTGTCCAGTTAAATTTTTTAAATTTAGTTTAGAAAATCTAGTATCAGTCACTTAGAATAGAAAAAAAAAACGAAAGAAATATCACGAAGATACAATGAAATTGTAAATATTCTCAGCTAACAGTACAATTATTTGAGAAGGAAAAGAGGGGAATAATATTTTGTGTATTGTATACTAAAAATTGGTCTCTCTCCAGGAATAGTTCCTGCCAATATACAAACGTAGTAGAGCATCTGATATATACATATCTTCTATATACGAAAGACAATGAGGAAGATGCGTAAATATTTATCGAAATATTTTATTTCCCACAATAACAAGCATTATCTTATCGAGTGTCGTGAGCGATTAGCTAATTTATTCGACTGAAGCCATAGTGCCACTGGCTAAGTTAAAATTCAGTTTGTCTGTGATCCATTTATCATGTCCATTTATCTCTGTGTCGTGTGTGCGTGCATGTGTGCTCGCGATCAATATTTATATATGTGTGAATGCGTAAAAATTTAAATATTTATTAACAAATGTGTCTCTCTCTCTCTCTCTCGCACGCGCACACACACATACACACACGCGCGCGAGCGCGCGCATACACGTATCGTTCGAACGTATTAGAATACGACGAAATTAGATTGTGCACGTGTGTATGTTTATACATTTGTAATAAATTTACATCTCTGACTGAAAGTACATATAAGTCTCTATCCGTGTATATGGGGATTCGTCTTTTTTTTTTTAATCTAATCTAATCTACCCAAGCAAATTGCGGTTTCGTTTCCGCGGTTATTGCGGAGTCCGCGATCGTCCTGATCTGGGAATTTCTCGCCACGAGCTTCTTCGACGATTGATGTTTGTCAGACTGTGAGAAATTCGCCAATTTTTTCTTCTTATGCTGAGTAATGTATGAATCGTGACCTGCGATCAAAAGCGCGCGTTACTACGCACGTAATTCCGCGCGGGTTTCACAGATAATTCTGTCTTACCGGGATTCATGCCTACGGGAGGCACGTTCTTCAGTATCCCTTCCATGGTAAACGGTCGAAGTGCTGACATGGCACGACTCACACCTATCTGCAGATAAATGCATAAAGTTAAACACAGGCTGTAAAGAATTCAAACTGCTTGATAAATTAAGATATTATGGAAATTCTCGCACCTTTGTATGACGTATTCTATGCTCTACAAGATCTGCTCCGAGTACCTCCTCATAAACTGACATTCTAATTGGTATTATTTTATTTATTATCTACAAAAAAATCAGGTATTACACTTATATCAGGTCAGGTCTTACATATGCTACATTTTTTTTTTAAGGAATAAAATACCCATAACAGTATAACAGAAGAGGAAAAACTCCAAACCGATAAGCAAATCGCAGACAAGCTTTGCACTCCTAACAGGTACCAGCCGCCTCCTGTAAAGAATTCACGCACTGTACACGACTCCGGAACAAGAAAGACACGTAAAAATCATCACGGACCTTTGAACAAGCCCTTCCTTCCGCTTGTGGTGTCAAGGGGATATGGATTGTCAGCGAATAAACCGATGGCGATGACTCCCCAGATACCGCTTGCGCCTGTACTTCAAACGAACGAGCGGACGTTTATTGTCGCGACGAAGAGGTACGGCGAGAGAAACTTATAAAAATTCGACATGTCAGTGGAATTAAACGCACCGTGAGTGGCGGCTGCACCAACCGGATCGTCTATGTGAATTTTGTCTAACGCTGGCATTGCGATACACGTGATAAATCCACCTACCATCCCGACCACCAACGCCTCCCAGGCTTTATAAAGGAAGCATCCACCTAGCGCAACATAAACGCTTAAAAAATCGGCTCACGTCTCCCTCACCTTTTAATTCTATTTTAATTAAGCGTGTACCAGTGACTGCCACCAGTGCGCCAAGAACACCGTTTATCTGACTAAGAATATCAATTCCATTCGGATTAGTCAAGCTGAAACCCAGACCGATCAGACCACCTCCCATACTGGCTATCATCGTGGAGACGGCCGCTCGAGCGGCGTACTGCCACCGATCACCGGTCACCCCGTAAGTACTACCGCTGTTGAACGCTAACCAGCCCCACCTAGAAGATCCATAAGTTGTAGTTTTTTTTTTTAATATTCTGCGATTTATTGCGTTCGATATCGCGGTAATTTGCGATTTCCTTTTACCACAGCACGAACAGTCCCATAATAGCATTGACTGGGCATCCGAGCGGTAGAGGATCGATGCCGTTGTCGTATCTGCCTATTCTGGGACCGAGCATAATAGCGCAAGCGAGAGCTGTATAAACGGGCGGATTAATGCATTTATCGTGCGAAATTTATCAGTCTGTCATTGATCATCTAAGTTTGATAATGATTTTTTTACGTCTCCGATTACCTGAAACACCACCGACAAGATGCACCGGGCCTGAGCCAGCGATATCAACGACCCCCATGCGGTTCAAAAAACCATGATCGCCCCACACCCAACCGGCTGGCATGCAGTACACGATGGTGTTCAAAAACGAGAAGAGGCAGTACGCCTTAAAGTTACATCTATAGAGGTGCAAAATGTACAATTAATCGACCACGTTCTCGTTATCGTTATTCTACGAAGATAAATACCGTTCTGCCATCGCACCACTGACGATGGTCGTAGAGGTGGTGGCGAAGCTCAATTGAAATAAAAACGCGGCGCAAATGGAGCCCATGTACTCGTCGTCGATGGGAGGATCCACGAGTATACCTCCGATACCGATTATAGGATTGTTGGGTTTATTCAGGCCGAAGCTAAATCCGAATCCGAAGAGCCAATAAGTCAGGCCGCCGAGAACTATATCGACTACATTCTTCATCATGATGTTGACTTCGTTTTTCAAAGAGACACAGCCGGACTCTAGCATTCCGAAACCTACGTTTCCAAGAAAATCAATATATTCGCGCGCGTAATAATAAAAGTGCAAAAATATAACCGTAGTAATAATTTATTAGCTTAATCGGATAGAGGAGGAATAACTTAACATTTGTCGGGAAAGTTCTCATTTTACCTGTTTGCATTGTAAAAATCATGAAGGAGCTCGTGACGATCCAGTTGCTGTCTTCTTGCGTGAGATTGTACAACGAGCTAATGTATCTATCAACAGTGGCGTTCGTATCATTTTTCTCGGAAGTCTCCAATTCCATGATGCTCCAAACTGCTGCTTCGTCGTTAGAAAGAATTTGACTGCCAATGTCTACTCGTTCGCATACATTGAACGCGACGCGTGCTCGGGACAAACAAATTAAAAATTTAAGACATACGGGCAAAACAAGTCCGGTATTGGTATTGATAGCAACGTCAGGACTTCTGTCAGCAACCGATCAAGCGGATCAATCGAAAGAAGCGGACATTAAATTAGAAGTAAAATAATATCTAATCGGAATAGAGAGAGCACTTGGTCGTGTTCACATTTTAAAATTTTTTTTATTGGCCTTACATTTTCATATTACAGAAAAATTTCCTCGTATATCCAACAATTTCTCTTCGTTCTTTCATTAATTAAATAACGTCAAAATCATGTATAATACAACATTAATCTATTGATGGAAATGATATCACGTACAGGATTCCCGTCATCTATACCATACTTCGAATTTATAATGGTACGATATAGCTACTATATTATCGGAAAACATGATGTGTGCAGTGAAACATAAAATGTGACGATATTAGCGATGATTGGCAATACAAATACTTTTTTTGGGTTTTCTCTTTTGTTGTTTTTTTTTTTTTTAGTGGCCAGGCTAAACATTACATGATCACATAATAATTCTGCACAAATTAGTTGTTCTTGCATCATACGGTGAACTAAGCCCTCTTAGGTGGCAAAAAAAGATGGAATCGACAAGCATTTTTTTTATCATCCAAGGATATAGTTGTGTAAGTTTTTTTTTCGGAGGCAAATGTGCAGCATCAAGACATAAAATTTCACACAGTGTATATCGATAGATGTAATTTTGAATGCTCGGTTTTTTTTTCTCGAAAGCGTCTATGAGGACTACGTTGATAGATGGTAGATTTTTTGTTGTTGAATCCCATTGCTGTTTTGGCAATACATATTTTGCTCATCCTGCCAAGGTTTAGTGACCGTATACATTTTCATCGCTATACGCTATGTATAGGAAGAAATCCTCCTCGTGATGTTCCTGTTGGAAATTTTTCATAGGATTAGAGCGAGCGGCCCAGAGCGTCGAAATCAAAGCACTTCTCACTTGAAGTGCTTTGATCACGCATTTATTTATTCCGTAATAATATTCATTCTAATTACCGCATAAAGAGAGCCCATGGTGGCGCTTGTTGGTGGAATGATGTTGTTGACGAAGAAAAACAGGGCATCCTCGGGACGTAAATGAATCCTCTTACGAATTAGGAAGTAAAACTGACCGACAGTCAAATCAGAGGGTACCAAGTACTTTTGCTTGTCCAAATCACTGATTTTTGCTTTAGGCGCCTTCTCAACTATCACCTACAACAACATTCATTATTGCCTCTCTCGAATATTTTTTAAACATAGAAAGGTAACGTTGATTGACAACATTAAAAAAATATCTTAATTATCGCGAAACAAAATTGACGTCTGCGTTTAAATCGCCGTTCGTCTGGCAAAAGTGAAATTTCGGCCTTCGCTAACAAAATCTCAAAGGTTTATTAATTTTTGGCATGCCGCCTGAAGGATAAATTTCAAATATACACTTTTAATGCCGCGAATTGAAACGCGTCCAACTGTTGATAACAGGATTCGGATTCGAGTCCTGGTAATTGGACCCGGCGTTTGAACGCGCGTGTATCACGATATGATAATTTCGTGATATGATAATTTCTGTGTGAAATTGCTGTCATGTGATCGGTGATTCATACATCCAGCAAAGATAGACAATTATTTTTTTCTTCATAACGATCGCGATTACGATCGTGGAAAGCGTAACGCGAAATTCATTACGAGTTAGGTCGAATTCTGAATTTTTATTAGTTAAAAAAATCTCTTAGGCATTAATTAATTCCAAACAGCCGCTAAGATCAATCTTTTTTTCCATTTGCGGAATATTTTATCTTTAACAAGGTTTTTTTCACGTAATCAAAATATAGGATTATAATTTTTGTTAGCAGAAAGATTCTCTTGACGTCCAATCCGAAACATATTTCGAAAGATATATTTTAAAATACGCAATTAAATAACAAAATATATTTAATTTGTGAGTGCTCATAAACTTATTTATTATAACCGGAATTAGAAATTACGGCAATTCACAATATAGAAAAGAGAAAAATGGATATCACGCGGATTACTTTTTCCAAGCGTTATTTTTATTTTCGAAAATAAAAATAAATAAAAAACTGAAAATAAAAATAATGCTTAATAAAACGATACTTGAGACGAGTACACGCGGTAACACGTTTACGTCGTTTACATGCAATGTGGAAAGAAAATCTGGGCTTGATCTAACAGTAAAATGTGCAAATCATTCGCTTTTCGCCGAGACAAAGAGCTAGAATGTTCGCCGTGTCCAAACGTTTACGACTAAAAGATTCGGACGCCGACGCGTGAACGCGTCGCGTCGCGCGTCAAGCGAGACACGTGAATAAATTCCAAAGATAAACAGCCTCCAGGCGAGTTTCGAAACGCTGGGGAGGGACAACAAAACTTCGTCGATTGCACGTCGTGAAGCAGATCAATACGCGTGCGGGGGAGGAGCAGCGTACGCGATGAGCAGCGCGATTTCGCTGCGTAAATGCGCAAAAAGAAAACGGGGGCCTTGCCGGAGAGGAGTCAGCCTCGTCGCGGAACGAGCACGCGATATGCGACGCAGAATATACGAGGACGACCTTGGGCCGCTCCGGATATCTCCTACGGAAATCGGAGGAACGGCGGCGTCGCGGGGGCGAATCCACCGACGGCAGAAGAGTCCCCGTCTCCCGCGGTGAGACTCTCCTTCGAGGAGAGCGAGAGGAAAGCGCGGAGCCTCCCGTCCGTCCCGCACGCGCGTGGATCTCGACGGACGGCGGAGCACGCGAAAGATGATTCGTTCTACTCACAGGCACCCGATCGGGATATTTCCGTCGGATCTTCTCGCCCTCGGCCTTCCTCTTCTCGAACGGATGCTCCTCCTTGTACTGAAACTTCATCGTGGCCCGTCTTCGAGGGGGGACCACGCGACACTGCGACGACAACGGCGACAACGAACGTTCTCGATCCTGCTCGATCCTTGTCTGCCTTCTGCTTCGCTCGCGTAACTCGCGTTATGCCCACAGCTCAGGTCGCCCTGTCGTTCACGTGCGCGCGCGCGCGCACTTATCCTCTCGCTTTCACTCTCTCTCTCTCGTTCTCTCGTCCACCAATTCGCTCTCCGCGATGTTCGCTCGAATTGACACGAACGCGACCCACGACGACGACGACGACGTCGACGACAACGACGACACTCTCCTCGCAGGTCTCGCAACAACCAGCAACAACAATTGCCGTGCGTCACTGCGATTGCGCGTTGGCGTTGCGCGTAGCGCTCTCCGCCGCGAGAAAATAGTCCCCCTCATCTGGCAACGAGATGACAGCTTGGACAGCGAAAAGACTACCAGGTCTTTTTGTAAGGAATCTCGAGAAATTGGCCGTGTGTTAACGCGAAATATCAAGCTGTTTGCGGAGAGAAAAGACGAAATACGAGAAACGCATGACGGGACAAAAGTCTCTAAATTTCGTAATTACACCACTTTTCCCACTTTCCGCGTTTCCTCTTTCTCTGTCGAACGCGAAAGTAAGCGCGCGTCTCGCTCTTTGCACGTGAAAAAAGTGCAGGACGGTGCAAATCTGCGCCAATGCCGCCAATCTACGCGACGAGCGCCTCGAGAGAAATCGATACGTCTTAACCTAACCTGTCTCATTTTCCGCGACGCGGCGCTTCGAGAGATCGATATCTCTTACGCTCGCCGCGGCGCGGCGCCTCGAGAGGATCGCGAGTTTCACGCCACTCGATATTTCAAATTCTCGGTATCGGCCGTCCATTGAGGAGCGCGACGGAGGATCGCGCGGAGTAGAAGCGGAGTTCGAATCACGCGTCTCTCTCTCTCGCGATCGCGATCGACTTACGGAGAAGCGGATTCCGGCCGCGGTCCCCCTCAGACGTTGCAGCCGAGACGCGAGCGTTACGCCGAAACGTGCGAAATGAGGAGCATGAACGACGCAACGATGCCCATGCCGATGTAGTACCGTGCGTAAACAGACTCCATGGACTCGGACGCCAGGACCTGCCGGGCTCTTCCTCGGGCTGCTCCACTTCCTTCCCGCGACAGCGTAGCATAGTCGTCACCCGTTGCCAGGTATGCACATTACGTTCCGGAATTCATATCGTGAGTTTCGATACGCGAATTAATGAAAATGGTCGAGTGGATGCACCACAAAATGGCGGTGCCGCGACGCGGTGACGAAAATTTGTCGAACATCTTTGTAATTATACACGACGCGTTTGCGATTGTTGAACAAAGGCTTGGTAAATTATACTTAAAATTATATTGCTTTTCGAAATCTTGACGGAATCGCTGAAAATAGGTAAAATCGTGAAGTTTCAAGAAATATTGCTGATTATATCGAAATCATTTTCCGTAGCGTTTTTGTCATAAGATCAAATTTTGGCTCAAAGAGAGGTATTGATTAGAAAAAGATGCAGGTTGAATTAATCGTTGACTAAATAATAAGTCAGGAGTTCGGTCGTAGTCGCTCATGGGAGATGGGATCGCCATCAGTTTCGGCGCGAAATCGCGAAGTCGCACGATTCAAAAAGTTCACCGCGCCCTCGGTCGGTAATGCGTCCAAATCACGAAACTGTTAACCGAAAGCTCGACACGGATGATAACGTTATCTACAGATATCTGTAAAATCTTTGTATATACATGTAATCGTTTAGGACTTTCGAAATAAATTTTAATTGCATTAGAAACGATATTGCAAATCAGTATTTAAATTAAAACTGTCCATGTTATTTTCAAGTCTTACGCTCTCAAAATTTATAAAATGTTTACACTTTTATGTAGAAATTTGTGGATTTTTAACTTTGCTTTGAAATAATTATGACAGTACGTATAATCAAGAATTTAACGATTACAAAATTCTAAATTCTAAATCAAAATAAGAAATAATTAGAAATATTCAATTAAAGCTACATGTATGTACATGCAAATACACTTAATAAAGAATATTGAGTTTTATTAGTCTTTATTAAAAGAAATATGCACAGATGCATCTGTAATCGAAAGAATAGAAAGAATTATTCCGCATCTTCCTCGTCGTCGTCCTCCTGACTGTTAATCTGGAAGTATCGTAACTCGTACGTTTCCTTGTCTTTCGACACCACTCGCAACCAGTCACGCAGCTTGTTCTTCTTCAAGTACTTCTTCGTCAAGTACTTGAGGTACCTACAGCAACAGGGTTTTCCAAATCAGTGCAAATATCGTTCTTTCTGTAGCTTATAACAGCAAGCGGCACACCTAATATCGGTCAATCTACATAGACATTTCGTACGCATGTCCCGCGATTGTTGTAACCGAAGAAACACGACATTACTCACCGTTTCGAGAAATCGACATCACTGTTGACGGTGATCTTCATCTTGTTACGCTCCAGGACAACATTGTTGCCAAAGTTGTTAACTTTGCCACCAACCTTGATTTTCTCTTGTAAATATTTTTCCTGAAAAAAATCCCCATCTTATAATAATCAGTCTCAATGTGATACGGTATTAAAATTCTTCAGCAGGCCTCTCAATGCAACTCAAAATACATTGATTCTAAACTCTTTCTTACACGTAGAGGTTAGGAAACCGCGAGGAACAGGTTAGGAGTTCTATCACGTTCAAGATATCGAATGGGCAATGCGAAGGGAATTCTCACAGATGGGGGAAGGAAAATATTAGGGCCGTGGGCTAAAATAATTCCACACAACTTACAAAATTATTAACATCCATGATATTGTCCTCCACAGGATGCGTGCAGTCGATCGTGAACTTTAGGGACACCTTTTTCTTCTGTCCCTTACCCCGAAGGACCTGCTTCTTAATCGAGCCTTTGGTTTTCTTCGCCGGCTAGAAATTTAGAGAAAAATCTTTTTAGTGATAATATTATCCTCGCAAGACACGTGGGAAATCGATGTGGCGGAATAAAGATATACGATCGGGCATGCATGAATCGGACTCGATTGAAGCGATCTCGAGATAAAACGAAAAGCCGACACGTCGCAATCGACAAGTCGAGCGCGTTCTTTCCGTATGCGATGTTATTTCCACGGGATTCTGCCATAATTACGAATAATCGTCGTATTTTTGAGAGCGACAACTTACCAGAACCATTTTCACGCGTGTTCGATGAACAAAAAGGCACGAAGAGCTTGACCACCATGTGGCGCTACAATCATTTATAGAGAGAGACCTGAGAAACCCTCTCCGCGGCTTCCGCGCAACGTTCGATCGGTTCAATTCTTAAAATTCCATTGATAAAATCTGACTGTGTTCTTTGTAGTTACATTATATATAAATATTCTGCATATAAAATAAGATAGATGTTTTAGAGAGAAATAAATTAATTAGAAAGAAAACTTATATCTGTTTATTATAAACTAATTAAAATTAAATTAAATTGATATTATTTTTTTGTTGCAGATCATAGTATGAAATATGACTGGTGATGGTACTGGTGAGTAAAATTTAGGGTACGGGTAATGGTTTTTTTCTTGATAATTGATATCTCTGAAATCAGTGCGATTCATTTGTTTTGTACATTTTTGTAGATGTAGATTTTTGTGTACATACAAAGCGTCAAGTGAAGACGAAGTCATAGTCTTTTTTTAAAAAGATAAAGTTGTCCCATTTATTTTCCGGTTTTATTTTTATAATATTCTAACATTCGTGTACATAAGAATTATGAACAGAATTTTATAGAATTAAAAATTCACAAGTTAGAAAATTTTACGAAAATTGTAAATTTTCATATTCAATTTATTAGTTATTATATTTTTACAATTAAATTAAAGTAAATAATGTAAATTTTATTAGACTAAATTCGCGAACCATAACAATTTTGTAACAGCGTAACAAATTTTAATTCATAATTAATTTACAATTATTATTTTTTTTAGATACGGTTTTGATTTTAATATTTCGAATTTTTTCGTTTTATATATTACGATCTCCGTTGAACAATACCTATTTGCAAAGGAATTGAGCTTCGCATAAGTGTGCGAGGCGAGTGATCTTCGCAAAAAATTGCGAGGGATCTTTACAGAGACATTGCAAAACTGGATTGCAAGAGGATCTTCGCAAAAGAAACAACAAATTAAATTTATAATATATATTATAATAACCCGTAAGTTTCGTTCGCTTATAAATATGCTTTAAATTTCATTTATAAATATATTACGACAAATTGTCATTATCTATAAATATTTATATTTGCCATTTTATTCGTAATAAATATTTTTTAAATAATTTTACAAAATAGATCGTAAATCTCGCGAGTGTGTCAAGTCAAATGCAAAGTACAATAGTACAAAGTACAAACTTTAACTCAATCTGTATATTCCATTTTGCTGTAAACATTAAAGTTATTAAATACGCGAACTGTTAAATTAAGTTTATAATTACAAGTCCGCGGATTTCGCGTCGCGAGTGTATTAATGAAATAAAGTGCTTAACGTTGGAAGGCCCAGAAAGATTCTTCCTGCATTTCCGAGTACTGTCACGGATGTGATTACAGCGGAAGATGCGTCGATGGACATCGTGGGACGTCGCGAATTGATGAGTGCTGATTATCAATTAATTTTATAATCTGTTTTTTTTAGCAACACTTTTTCTGCATTTACATTTCATATATTATTGCTCCTATTATTTTATATAATTTTATATACATTTTATATAAAATATTATTATTACAGGATTTTAGTATAAAATAGTAGTATCATATATCGTGGCTAAAAAGAACAAATTATACTGCATGCGTAGTAAATGTTTACGAGAGTCGCACTGATTTATAACAGCATGAGTAGAAAGATTGTAGATACATTGTAGTTACATTGAAAAATTTATATTTTGCGTCGCGGATTAATATGATCGCGTTATAAAATAATTTTCTATGTACTTTATTCCGCGATTGCGATACGAAACGTACAAAATAAATATTATAACTTTTGCGACAAAGTAAAACTCACAGAACTGCTTCTCACAATTTTATTTATTTAAGCCTAATATACAATAATATCTATATTATAATATCTCTATTAATATATAGATCTGTTCCTTTTTTTCGGTGAGATATATATAGCTGAAAGAATATTGCAATTAATATAATTCCTATATTCATACAGAATAATATATTAATAGCCTATGTGTCAAAGCATCCTGTAATGGATCTATCGTTTAGTTTAGTTATTATCGGTGTATAGACAATTTATCGAACCGGAAACGATTTGATTATTAAGTGAAAGTAGCAACATAGTGTTTCATTTGATAAAGAATGCGATTAGTACATCAAATCTTTTTTTTTTAAATGGCATTAGTTTTGAAATCTATTAATTACGTGAAGAATTTATTAGTCGAAAATTTCGTAGGAAAAAAATAATGATGAATATTATTACGACGATAAAATAGTAAAATGTATTTAATGCAGCGATCTGTCTCTCCACTTTCCGCGTTTAAATAATATAATTTTAACGTGTTAACATATTTAACATTGCTAAATTACATGCTAATATCTTCGGAAATTCCAACTCTGGAAATTCAAGTTTATCGCACAAAATTTATTATCAATCTCTAGGCTAATGCTTGAAAATGTAAGAATCGCTGATTATCCTTCCTATAATTCGATTATCTTCTATAATACATTTACAAGCTAACTTCAGTTCCGGCTGTTTTCAAAGGAGCGAATTTTCTCAAATTTTCTCTATTCTTAGATAATATTTAAAAAAATATATATAAACACTAGCTTCAAGAAATAATAAATTGAAATATATGGTATGCAATAAAACTAATAACAATTAAATCGTGCAAAAAAGAATATGTTTAAGGAGTTGTTCGCTTGCTATAAAATCACGTTAAACTTTTTCGCGTTTTACATTAAACAATTTTTGCAATCACAGCGACTTTCGCGTAATTGCATTGTAATTACATCAAGAGACTAGTATAATTAAAGGGTTTGGCGTCGAAATTCGTTCCACATATGTCCAGAAGGCCTATTGTCGGAGACAATCTTTTGTAAATGTACAGGCAAGCACAAAAATCATCACATGACATATCCTGTACGTGACGCGCACACCCGACATTTTTACATTTTTTTTCGATCAAAATTGAACTTGACGTATACCTGCGTCAATCCTTTCAACTATCATTTTTGTAATACCTCCTATTATCTTCCTATTTCTCCCGTATTTTGATTCGGTATTTAATATATGAATAATTCATGTATTTATATATATGTACATAGATTGAATCTTACACTTATAATTCGTAATAATATACGTACATATACATGTACATACATTGGTACACATGTCCGTGTATTTTCTCCATGCACGACACTTCGCTTGTTGTATTTCGATTAGCGATTAGCGATTAGCTGAGCAGAATTTACGTACACAAAGCCTTTCGTGTACGTGCTCTCAATGAAAATAAAGCCTCCGTTGACTTCCTAATGGAGTAGTCTATAGAGTATAAGATCATTTCTTTCTTCTTGAACGACGAAAAGACCGGTCGATACGTCGCTTCCACTTAAACAACTTAAAGTACGACTATGAGATCAACAAGATGCAAATATAATCGAATAAAAATTAGTGAGTAAAAACACGTAAAGACAATTTGCGTCTAAACATTACATAGCTCGAAAAGAGTTGCGCAATAATTGCTAACAGAACATTAGAATTATTAATTATCGCAATGCTACGTCTATAAGGAGGCAAAATAATTCGTAAAAATAATCAATAGTCGAAGGGTTTCAAGCAAAAACGATGTAACTTCTGAGATTCGTTTACATAGCGGATTCCATAAATTATGGAGTTACCGGATTACTCCACCATGCCCTTCGACGTGCCGACGATGATTCGAAGCGAATATGTCGACCAGTTATTTCCGCGGAAGATGTCGTTGTTAGGATCGGCCCCCTTCGCGTTTCTCCCTTTACCCCAAGTTTCACCGTCGTGTCGTTTATACCGGCATCCAGGCCATGCTGTGCATATCGGCGTTCAGGTTGCCGACGAGCTGCGCCGGACCACCCCCTGACGCAGTGCCCGTCGTCCCCGAGCCACCCGGTGCAGCACCCCCAGGTGCATTGGGTGCGGCCCCTTGCATATTCGTATTCGGTACCATGCCCGGTGGTGGATAGCCGTACGGCGGAGCTGCCGGCGCCGATTCCGGCATGAATTTCACTGAAAAACGTTCAAATGAAAATTATATTAGCTTCTAGTATCGATGTATCAGGACGTTTCAGGGTGATGACGTAAGACGATAACGGGGAACGATACGGAAAATCCTTTGCACATTAATATATTAAATCGATATATGTATGTATAACAATTTTTTTTCTACAGATAATGTAGTCTTTTTAATTTTGGAGGAGAGATTTGTTCTAAGTATCAATTCGGTAGGATATATGATTGTAAGCGAATGGGAATTAGTACGAATGAACAATTTGCTTTAATAAATCCCCAATATGATGACACTGTTCGCACTCATTAAAATTGTTCATTCATGCTTGCTCACGTTCGCTCGCTTGATTCTATTAGATCCCACTTTTCTAATTGTTTTTTTGTTACACTAATATTGAAGAGTATAAAACTGATATATTGATTAATTTTTTGTGTGCTACTGCTGCGCACGTAAAAATGATTAAATTTTTAGTAAAATATTATCTGTAATAAAAGAGTATATTTTTAGAACTTTTTCCCTAGCAGTAAGAAAAGAATTCTCATCTTTGCATCTTTAAAAATATTACGATCGTATAGATATTGTGAAAGTTTTAATTGAGTATAATGGCTTCTTTTCGATGAAAAAAGGGTATAAAAAAATCATAATTGTTAACATCAGAAGCCAAGAATAAATTGACGAAAAAGTAATTTTTCTGTCAGTCGTTCTCTGTTTATGAACCGCACAGGATCTATCTTTTATCTACGGCATAAAAATAATATGTCGTATTTGATATCTTTTATTCCCACACTTTTATAATTAACACACAGAAACACATAATTTTGGACAAATGAAAAATACACAAGGTTGTTACACAGCGCTAGAACACAGAAATTGATGTTTTCATTTTCTTTTTTTTTAAACAGTGTATTATATTACAGTGTTCTCTCTCACTCTCTCTCTCTCTCTCTCTCTCTCTCTCTCTCTCAAAATGATTTTATTCCGTTAGATAATAGTGTGTAGGTATTGTCGCGTTTTACTTTAAATCTCGACATGTGTGCGCGCACCCGGCACCATTTATTACATTAATGATTGGAACAGTTGTACGAATGGACAGCGAATGAAATAATTACGAAGCGAGACAGTAATTGGACACACACATATCACTGACGTGTCTTCTACGTTCGATCACACGATCACAGGAAACGTAAATTTATTATATTATATAATTCATGTTGCTGACACAGCGATATTTAAACAAATATGCGATGACTCTCTGACGGCGTGAAATGACAAACTGAATAATGGAATATACAATGATGGAAGCACATATTTCACGTAACTGTCACACATGACAGAAAAGAATTCAGAGAAAACGCAGATGACAGAAAAGTAGAAGTTAATTCAAAGAGAAAAAGATTAATATGCTTTCCTTCGGTAATAAATGTAATTGTGGGGTTGCTGCATTATTAATCAGTAAGAGAGCTTAAAAAATTCAGAGCCCAACCAAGGGTTTAATTATAAAGAAATATCGACCGTAAATTCACCGATAAATTAATAATTGAGAAAATGACCCAATTATAAAAATACTTTAATATGTTTTTTTTTAATATTTGATATTTAATTTGACCATTTTAAAATGTACTACAAAATCACGCGATTGTCAGTTAAAGGAAATGCAGATCAAAATCAAATAAGAAAATAAAATATATAAATAAAATTCTTAAAAAAATAGATAAATATAAAAAAAAGATGTGCACACCGGCATACAACAGCAAGTTTATTGTTCTTACCTCCTTCTTGGATTTAACGGATATTAGGCTTTATAATGATCCTCTTCCTGGAAGGCGCGCAATATATTATATTTGATCAATAGGTGTTAAAAAATTATTATCGCGTAACTTCGCTTCAGCTGTAATCGAATAAAGCTTCTCTTCTTAGAAAAGTAGCGTCTCGTTTTCTTTTACAAGCAACGTTAAAGTGACACAAAATTAAAGAAAGAACTGAAACGTGTCGCTTAAAGCCATTAATAAAATTCAGTAGTAAAATTCTTAGAAACGGTCGGTGCTTACAGAAGGTAATACATAAGGAACTCTACGAAATCGAAGCACGATTTGATTCAAAAGCAAACAAAGGAAAAAAGAAAAATTATAATCGAGTCCCTTCTCTGTTGCCTCTTCATAACTTCAATCCAACTACGCAGTGTATTTTTTATTCGATACTGTACAATTGTTCAAAGCGCAGCATCATGATCATATTTCGTCGTTAATAATTAAGGATACGTCGACACGGTTAAGATATGACGTACAACTATGTGTTTCATAAGTTCATAAACATAGAATGATCGTTTGTAATCATTATAACTCGGGTGTGCAGCCATTTCGCGTGACAACTTCGAAGAATTTCTCATTCGTCGATCGGCCCTTCGCTTTTCCAATCTTGCGATTCTCGCGGATTCAGCAAAAGCGTGTCGCATTAACAACTCGTGTGGTTCCCAATGATTGCCCAATGATCGTCAACATTATTTTTAACAATGAAATTATGCTAAATAACAAATATTAGCGTTAGAAACAATTTAAAAGAAAAAGTAGAAGAAGAACAGATTTCTTTATATTATTTTTAATGCCCATTATAACGCTACGATTAAGTACACATGATTGATCAGATCAATAATTGCAAAAAAATATATCTGATGTTCTAAAATTTTCGATATCGTCGCTTCCTAAAATTTTTCCTAAAATGAACCCCGGCGCGAACGAAAGCAAAGTCGATCGAGTATTTTGCCGATCGACTCGATGAAAAGCTCTTCTCTTTCTCTCCTCTGGTGAACCTCATCGCGTCCAAAAATCGCGACGGAAAGACGAATGGCGCCTGCAGCAGGCATACCCACAAATATCGCGCGTCGGGACGGGATCGAAGGGAGGAATAATTGCGGAGGATCGCGGACGATGGTTTTCGTCACTCGGGATTATTGCTGAATCAGCAGCAGCAGCAGCAGCAGCAACAGCAGCAGCAGCAGCAGTAGCAGCAGCACCGAAATCAGTAAGGGCCGAACGGAAGAAGGAAAGGGGACCGGGTGAGGATCGTCGGAGACCGACGATCTCGTCGAATTCGTCGACGAATAGTCGGCGTGTCGGGCGCGATTATACCCTTGTCGTTAACGACTTATCTCGCGGATGGACGATAAGAGGATGATGCCTTCCTGAGCTCGGATATCTTTGAAATCGTAATGACAGCGATTCCTTTCTTTCGGCGCGCGATCGCATCCGCGAAGCGGGCAAAGCAACCCCCTCCGTTGTCGTTTATTATAATTATTATTAATATTACCATTATTATCGTCATCGTAATCATCATTATTATTAACATGTATACATAACATCTTGTAGATAATTCATCTTTAAGCCTTAAAACGTTACTTATAGCTGCTGCGCCTCTCTACAACAAGGCGTTTCTTTTCCACCCCCTTCGTCTCCTCTCCTCTAATTCTCATCTTCTCCTCCCCCTTTTTTTACCCCATTTTTTTTAATTATTTCTTAGATTCTCTGTACACAGGCTGCTCGAAAACGTTGCTCGCCCGTCTTCGACGAAGGCAGGCGACTGCTGCTGCTCTTTCTCTTTTCCCATCCGTTTTCTCCTTCCCCTCCTCTTCCGTCCCTCTATCGCGATTTGTTCTTCCACTACTAGTCGCGAAAAGCAAGATGCAAAACAAGGGAACATAGGATACGTGTGACTTCTCGATATAATTGGAGCGGATTGAATCCGATAAATGGCGCGTGAGGGACAAATGATATATTATTTACAGTTTGCGTGATTTTTACATTTATGTCTATAAAGTAAATATCTCGATATATCGCGAACGCATTCGCGTATGCGAACGTGAACTACAGCAACTGCCTTCGTCGGAGAAGTTTTACATTGATGGTTTTTACGAACACCCTGTCCCTTTTTATCGTTTTCTCTTTATACATACATATATATATATATATATATATATTTGTATACATATATATATATACATATACATATATCCTATATATTTAAGTATTATGTCGCTGCTAAAACGAATCTTCCCTCTCTTTTTTCATGAACCTTTCGCTTCTTTGTATACAATAATTGTCTGTTTCTCTATTTCTCTTCTAACTTTTCTCGGACAATCTTAATTAACGAAGATGGACGAAGGAAAGCGCGATGCACGTATCTTATCAATCAATCGCGTTTAGTCGCGAGATTTTAATGGAATCAGTTACAATATTGCGTTTCAATGCTACCTATCTAATAAATTTCCGGAAGCCTTAGATCTATTATTAAGACCTGTGTATTTTCAAATTAATTTCGCGTTCGCCGAAATTCAGAGGAGATAAATTAACATTCCTCGTAATGACGCACCGTTTTAAAACTCTCGTTATAACGAAATTACGTCAATTTGAACAATAATACAATTGAAAGAAAATAAAATAATACAACTAAAATGATATGATGAAACGAAATTACGTCAATTGTATCGAATAATACAATCAAAAGAAAATAAAATAATACAAGTAAAATGATACAAATATAGTAATAACATAACGAGATAAAAGCCGAGAAATCAGTGGGATTTCGCCCGAGAATCAACGGAATTTCGCCCGAGATGGTTAATTGTTGTGCGCGACCTTCGTCCATGCGAGATATGGAGACCAAGTCGGTTCAGCGTGGACCCTCCCTCGACTTTCTCCGCTCGATTCGAAAAGAAAAACCGCTACAAAGGGTAACAGGAAAGTTCCGTGGTCGTCGCGACGGCTCTCTTCGTTGTTCCCGCTCGGATCAACAACGTTTCCCTGCCTCCGATCATCTGTCGTCGATTCTTCCGCCTCTCCCGCGATGAGAATCCCAAGGCCGACGATCGATCGATCGATTCCCGCGCGCGATCGATCCGACATTCACGTGTTCGCGGAGAACTCCGGGCAGAGCTCGTCAACGGCTCATCACAATTTCCGTCTTGCGAGATCTATCCTCCTCCAAAAAAACCACACCTCCTCTTCGCAAATCACTTTCCGCTGTTTCTTGCGTCTCTTCCTCTCCTCCTTTCACCTCTCTTTTTGTTGTTGTTGTTGTTATAGTTGTTGGTTGCGTTATTTTTTTTAGCTCTTACCCTCGCGCTCAATTTTGCGTATTGCTGCCGCCGGTGACGCTCGCTGAAAACAATAATAACAATTGTTCTCCTCCGCTGGATAAGGGACGGCGATGATACCGCCGTCCGTATTGCTCTTGTTAGTCTCTGTCCCTTTGAATTTTTTAAATTCATTTCTTTCTGTTCTCCTTCCTTTTTTTTTTATTTCTTTCCCTTCCTCTCTATTTCGCCATCCTTCGCATGCAGAGATTAATGGCGGATCGCGCTCGTCGTGGACAAACGTGTTTAAATTATCAAGATCATGATTATAAAATATGCACAAGTTCATATCTGTTTTAATAACTTTGAAATATTTTTCACTGAAAGATATTGTTTCATTTACGCCATTATATCCACGACGACGCGTTTGATAAACTAAAATCACTGACGTTCGTAGACGTTTGAAGCTAATGTATAACAATCCGTTAGCCACAAGGATAAGGAAGAATTGCATGCAAAGTAAGTAACAGAAGCGTAAATGCAGAGGCCACACACGGTATATATAAACCTTTCCCTGCGAAAATAATTAGCGGCGGCATAAAGTTTCGCGGCTTTTCACCAGAAGTTCCGTCCGAAAAGTCCATCTTTTTTCCTTTTCACATTGTATAGTACATACATGACAAAATCCGTCGCAGTTCATAGGAAATTCTGGCCGAATCCCTGATTCTGAAATTGTTTAGAAGCTTTTGAATGCATTCCACATAACGTATATAAGCCATGCAATGCTATGCCGTACATCGGCTTTTAATCGAAGGGGAAATAATTAAGTCGATGGCACATGCTCCGTAATAAGAGGTCAAGCACGATGCGCGAAGATCGTCCCAGAAACGTTTGCTTGATTCGTTTTTATATTAGGGAATGCACATTATTAAAGTATGCATATTCTGATGATATGTATGTATATATACATATATATAATATATAATATATACATATACAATGGTGTATGAGTTTCGCGCTGTACTAAGAATGTTATTTAAAAAAAAAGAAGATGAATGAAAGGAAAGAGAGAGAGAGAGAGAGAGAGAGAAACATGCAGAATGTAATATATGCATGAACATATCTTTATGGTAATCTTTATGGTATGCAAAAAATAAAACAAATTGATCGTGATTAATATTTCGTGTTTATATATATATATATATATTATATATAAATATAAAAATAAAAATTTAATAAATTATGTAAAGATTTGAATTCAAATTATATATAATATATGAATATAATATATGTTGAACTTTAGATGACAAAAAATATATTTTCTACGAAACGTAATGCAGATTATACATTTGTATAATATATACAGAATTTTTTTTCAATACGTAAAAATGAGTAAATAAATAAAAAAAAAAGAAATATAATACGAAGTGCTTGAAAAAGATTTAAATTGTATTTTGGCGTAAGAAGAGAGAAAAAGGTAGAAAAGTCTCATATCGGGTACAACAATAAAATCATAGCTTACCGTACCGAAGAGTAGAATAGGATTAAACAGAAACTTTGTTGTAGTTGTAGTTGTAGTTGTTTGATAATTCTTACTGTTGTCGATATTGTGCTTGTTGTTGATGTTGTTGTTTGTCGTTGTGGTGTTTTCATTTCTTGGTGGTATTTTGTATCGTTTCTCTTTATTGGCACCGCAAGGTTTGCGAGTCACAATGTTTGAAGCTGTATGTGCAGCCCGTTTTTCACGCGTTTACACACTCTTTTTTTCGTTTTCTTTGTTTAATTGATCACCAGAAAATTGAAAATCACTGCCTGGGACCAACTTCAGAAAGAGGATAACCACCAAAAGTACAGATAGACACATAACAATGATTACAATCGTAACACACATAAAGGGTGAGGTATGATCGTGTCTCGGAAAACATTCTCCTTTAAAAAATTCGTCGGCATTCGTTAAAGAAACCGACTGTTTGTTTCAAAATTAATTTCACGCAATACATTTAAGGCTCACTTCAGACAATCTTATAGTTCATACAAGAATTCAGGATAGTAGTCTCATAATTTTATATGCCAACTAATAAAAAAAAAACAATCTAATGTATAAACATCAAAATATTCAGAATGCTGTAGACAGTTCTATCCGGAAATCTGACGCGAATTATAGGTCGTCTAAAGTGGGCTTTAGTCAACACCGAAGTTGTGACAAATATCTGACGTTGAAATTGTTAAAGTTGTTATAGAGTGATTTACTCGTGTGCATCGCTTTTTTCCGTCTTATGGACTTTAAAGGGACGTCTCAAAACGTCAGATAGAATGCTGAGAAAATTCCTAAAGCGGGAAGATATACGACGGCAACTTTTACTATACTGTTTATACTTAACGTTGACTTGTGCAACACGCTGTGTTGTGGGTAAGAGAAGGGAGAGGAGATGTCGTCGAAGATTTATGAAGGTTCGCGGTGTATCGCCATGGCGCGGCGGTGATTCTTAATTGGGACGCTTCCCAATTAAATAGGGTAGTTCATAAATATGCAACGATATTGGATAGCGATGGGTTCTTATGTAGGGAATACACGTAGCAACAGAGACAGCAAGTATCCTATCACAGGCAGACATAATGTATAACATCGACTAAAAGTGCCAGTTTTATAAATGCGCGGATGCATTTGCGCGTTTACAAAATTAATGTGTGATTAAAAATCCTCTATTGAATAAAACATTTTATAGTGATAATACGATAATTGTATGTCACACAATTATTATACAATTAATAACCATAATTTATTAATAAATGCGTCTAATTATAAGATTAGTAAAAATTTCAACAATTGAAATCGCTATTATTTTTTTTAACGAAATATCTGGTTGATTCTTTATAAAACTGGCAACGCTTGATACGTGATATTATCAAAATTAAGGACAATTTTGAAATATTAGGGTGAGGGGAGATTTTTACGTGTCGGACGGTAAACAATGAAGATGGAAATCGGAGGAAACGTACATACGGGGTCCAGATATGCATTTTTTTCTACCACAAGTAAAAAAGAGAAACGGGGTGAGAAACAACAACGATACGCAATGTCGCAATTGTTTTGCTTTCTACCTTCAGACTCACTCACACACAAATCTCTTCCACCAATCAGCGCGCCTACATGAAGTTTGCTAGACGGGAAAAGAGAAATACATACATTTCACACGTGTGTTAGATGATGAATGAACAATAGGGAAGACAGAGTGACGCCACTTTTTCAGACGGATTTCACGCTGTATAGCGCGGCGTCTTTCTCGCGCATTTCATATCCCGCGCGATAAAGACGTGTTCTTGCAAAAATTAATGTACCCCCGTATTTATATTTCGTTCATAAAATGCACCAGAGAAATTGACTAGGAAATAGAGAAAATAGAACTTTCGTAAGATTTTTGAAGCGAGAATTGTTCCGGAATATATAGAGAAAAGAGAGACTCGCGAGTATATGATACTTTCGGTAAAGTTACGTGAAAAAATGAATTGAGATCAAGTAGTCGACGTAATTTTCAGGCAAAGCACGATGAACAGTCCGTTTCGGCACATTTCCTCGAGAAGAGATCTCTCCGGAAGGGGGGGATTTCTCAAAAGCTATATGCAAATCCGCGGACATTTCGCTCGTCACATTGCGTCGTTTTTCGCATCGTGCAAACACAATCGTCTGTACGTAGACGTTTCCTTAGCACAAAGAGAGTAGCATCGACAGAGAGAGACATTAGACAGGAACGACTGATTCAGATTCTGTTACAATAATACGATGAACATCGTCAAAGCCATAAGCTCTCTAAAAGGGAGTTCATTCAGTCGTGATAAAAATTCGTATCCATCCGCGCTCATTGAACATACGAATTTGAGAATGAATATTAAGTTCCACGATTTGTTTAAATAAAAAACAAACGGTCGAACACTTTTATCAAATAAACGCTTATATGAAAGCAGGTGGAAGCAACGCTGAATTAGTCGCTCTCGAAATCGGGACGAGATATAGTACATCGACGAGATGGCACAGAACATTTAAACAATTACAGTGGCAGTGTTGACAGCTGTTAAACGTTAGTGCGTCAATGAAACACTTACCGACAATGATGGCCAATACGATGAGTGCGATAACACCCATGATGATCATCATCTGTTGAAAAAAAAGCAAACGGAATAATTATATTAAAAATTTCTAGTGTTGTAAATATCCCTCTTAATTAATATTCCTCTTAAAATCTAACTCTTACCTTTAGATTCTGTAGCCAGAACTTTCTCTTCAATTTTCCCGCTTGCTGTTCAAACTGTGACGCTCCTTGTTGGAGTGCATCTGTAAAAGCCAATTACACGAGTGTATCATCGGATTTATATCTCAGACATTTTTAAATATAACTTCGAAAAAGAAACAGAATTCTCCAAAGAATTGCCCTTTAATATTAATAATCAGAAAAGGTAACGTAATTTTATCCAAAGAGAAAAAGAATTCTGATAGAGGTATCAGCGACGGTATAAATAATGCAATTTGTTAGTGCGAAAATATACGTTTGCACAAATAATAAATGTACGTTCGGATTACGTGAGAAAAGATCGACATTCACATAACGTGGCATCGATTTGAGCGTGTCACAGTAATCGATATCAACGTGTAGTCAGGCGCGCAGGATCGGACTACTTTATTGCCACGATACCATGAATGGAAGAGAGGTGTAGTTTTCCCACGATCATATTTTCCGTTAAGCGCTTCTGTTCGACGGTAGCGATACATCGTGAATAATAATATTAATATCGCGCCGCGTATATGCAATATAATTCGTGACATAAATCCGTGTTACAATTATATCTCCTTAAAAGTTTGTACGTTATGCGTGGAGATGCAGCATTTATTTTCGCTCTTCTAAGGCATTAATTAATCTCTCGACGTGCAACAAATGATATTCACCATGAATAAGTAAGTACCTGACGTAGAAGTAGCGAACAATGGAGTGACGTATATAATAATTAATGAATATGTTGATGTTAATGCGCGCGCGCACGCAAATGCAGTATACAACACAGCAGTATACATAATTATAAAATAAAAGATAGATAATTCGGCAAAACAGAATATAATTTAGGGGGACATTGAGTGTCGACTATAAATTTTCAACTTTGATTAAAACGTTCGCCACTGATTTTTTTGTGCGGCGCTTTTATATAGCTGGCGTGGAAACGATCGATCTCACCTGCTCGATCGTCGAGCTCGGAGAGCTTCTGATCGCGCTCGAGGACCTTCTCGACGTTCGTCTTCATGATGTCGACGACTTCGTCGACTTGCGCTTGCGTCGCCTGCAGCCGCTTCTGCGAGGCAATTTGCTGGGGCGTCCTGGGGCCACCGACGATGCCGTCGGTGCCGGCGCCTGCACCTGCAGCCGCATCCGGTGCTAAACCGCCCTCCGTAGCCCTGCGGAAAAAGACGCGATTTCGAGATGATGATGACTATCGTGTCACACCTAATATGTCATTACAATACAGTGTCGAACAAACGCGGTTCCTTTTAAATGTCACTTCCCGCGGAAGTGTTTGGCGCAACCCCGTCGCTTCGATGAAATTTAATGCCTCGGAGAATAATAAAACGCATTCAAAAATGAAATAGAATAGTCATGGTATCTTGAATCTGCCGGTATGCTTTTGAATGTTTTAAATGTAAAGATTAATAAGCGCCGATAGATGAATATCTTTCGGCTCGTGTAATACTTCGTCGAAACCGTGATATTTATCAAATACGCGTATTTATTATCGATATGCGCTTGTATTTTACAGTGTGCATGACGAGGGATTTATTTGTGTATCCCTCGGTACGCGCGTCTCTCTCTCTCTCTCTCTCTCTCTCTCTCTCTCCCCCTCCCTCCTCAACGGGTTCTGAAAAGTAAAATAAACACGCGGGTGGTTGTCGCTCATCCTGGGACGTGCGAGCCGGGGGAATTATAGCGCCGTCGTTGCCCCATGGTGCTGGATGCTGCGTGAGGTTTTCCCCATATCGAGCCGCGGGTGGAAACCACCGCGAAAGGGCAAAGTTCGTGACACGATTTCGCCATTCGCGCCGTTTAATGGCAAAAATCTTGATGCGTATTACTGCGACAACGCGTCTCTCCCTCTCTCTCCCTCCCACTTGTTTCTTAGGTTATAATAACGACAAGGTGACGGTGATGCGAGCGCATTGTCTCGGAGCACATCGCCCTCGCGTTTAGAAGGTGGCGGATAAGCTGCCTTGTTGGATAAGCCGATAGAGAAGAGAGAAAAGGTCATTGATAATGTCGCCTACTCGTATAGCCCCAGGATATTGTAATCCAAAACGCACGTGCACACGTACTACACGCGAATAAATACGCTAAAGTCAAACGATCGCGATCCCTCATTGCGAGACTTTCGTTAAAATTCTGAATGAATTCATTCTAACTTTTGCGAAAATACCAGGATTATCGTTACGTAAAAATATCTCGGATTAATACTTTCGATTAATCGCTACTTGGAATGTACGATTAATCAAAAGTATATTCTATTTAGGTTAAATATACCTGTTTACTCGCAAATCTAACTGCTTAAGAGGAGATATTTCTTTTTCTTCTGCACATCGCGTTTATTTTAAACGTGACCTGCGAGAAAAAAGCGCTTTGTAGCAATATCCTTTATTGTGTAAAACTGTATTAAACAGGATTAGATGCGGAGACCTTTTTTATCTATTGTAATATGGAAATGTCCTGGGTGGGAAACTATGTATATATGTATATACATTATGTGGACATACACGTCGTTCTGTAAATTTCTTTTCTATGGGGATCTCCGTCAAGTCATCTGACCTTTCGCAGAGAGACAGAGCGAGACCTTTTGCGGAACCGCTGCGAGCAATGCCAATTTAATTAGTCAACTTATGTACCGGGATAATTAGATCTTCCATTTCCTTCCCCGAAATGACGTCCTATTCTTCACCGTAAAATCTCCGGCGTTCGTTAAATATATATTCTTCATACCAATTAAGCGATCGTCGACGAGGACGAGAGCCGCAATTTGTACGTCAGCAGTTGTACGATCAATAAGAATAACATATCGAATTTCTCACATATTGTCTATCATTTAGCTGACTAAAATTAGAAAAAAAAATTACGCAATCACATATCGGTGAAATCGATCGATCTGTATTAATTCTTGCCTGCGGAAAAAACTCCCTGTGATTATCTGTACGCATAAATGCCGGATCGCGCCGGAGGCGCACACGTGACGTAAATCGCGAAGATTACGAGTAGTACGTGTTTGTATTAGTCGGCGATATCTGCGATTCGGAAAAATGCCGGCTGTACGCGCGATGGCGGATTAAAAAGCGGTCGGCGACGGGTTGCGGGTTTTATTTTTGGCCTGGCGATCGAACGACCGAGTGGCAACAGCCGATCGATCGACTATTCGAATACCGTCGGTGGGAATAGTTAAACATAGAGAGGAGAGTCATATGTGTCTCTTCTCCATATCGTCCCCATTGAGATGTTGAACGCGACGTCGGAATATTTGGCCGTCGCCGCGCGGTATCCGTCGCGAAACTTTCGACGCAATTCCAGTTGATGTATTTTCGCAGAACGATCGATAAAAGAACAGCAATCGTTATACCGTTATAATTTATCTCGGTTTAAATTTAGAAAAATTTATAAAATTGCTGTAATTTATATCGTTAAAATATTTCCGATATTTCTATACATTAGAGCGAGCAGTTTGATTGCTCACCGTCAAAGTGCTTTTTCGATGCGGTTCAAAAATTTCTTTCTGTTTCAACATATTTGCTTATCGCCAAATAAAAGAATTTGTTTCTAAAAAACGCGAATAAACTTTTTGATTTATTGAAATGCTCTTCCGACGTAATATGAAAATTTCTGCTGTTTATTTTATTGCAGTATGCACAACTGCGATTTGACATATATATCGAAATATTTCCCCGATACTCCGCGGTTGCAGCGATGAATCATGCGCGCAAAAGTCAAGAAATATTCACCCCATGACGTAAAATAGGATACATAATGGGATTAATGCATCGATCGCGGATACTGCTTCTTCATCCATGTTATTAGATTAGTATATAATTCGCGCTGAACGGTGGATATTTATGGGATTTGCATTACACCGCGTAAGAACAGGACACGCTTAAAAATTTTTTATTATCTTCTCGTTTTGCAGCGCTTTTTACGTTAATGGAAAAGTGCATTTGGTACCAAGTTACTCGCAAGTAATTTTGAAAATAATAAAATTGCAAAAGAGAAATTAATATAACACGAATTCATAAATCAAATTACTTATTTTATAAGTCGTCGAATTTATATGAGACGTTAATTCGGTACAAAATTTTCATATCGCCGGTAGTTTCTTCAATAATTCGGGAACTGTGTTGAAAGGAAGCGGCAATTCCATTAAACTACTGAGAGCTTTCAAGGACCAAATTGCAATCGGTATATCGCGGTCCGCCACCGCCGCCGCCGCCGTACCGAGAATTCCGTCCGTCTTTGATCGACGCACGAACAATCCGGCTGAACGGTTCATTGTTCGCCACCCGGGTCGCAACGCGTGTGTAAGTTACGTACGAACGCGCACCTTTCCGTCTAGCAAAGCCGTAGAACATTACCGTAAATGTGCTCATCATTGATTATCTAAATATAGAAACTGCGAGCCGACATGTAGGAGCAGTGCGCCACGTTTCGCGCGATTGATCCCCGACTGTATACGTGTGTATGTGTGTGTCTGTGAACGTATACTTATATAGATCTCGCAATTAAGCAGCCCGGCGATCAACGTCGAACGCGCAAAATGCGCAAAGAACGCGCACCGAGCGCGCTAATCGCGCGATTGCTCGTATATAAACAAACAGGTCAGAAGTCCGAGCGGAAGGGGGAAGGCGATAACGAGCTCGATTATCGCTTTCTAATCTCTCCCGCGATCTGCATCGCAAATCGCGACAAAGCAAAGTGACTCGGTGTTATCGTGTGTCCTTCGAAAAGATCGAGCTTCCACGGTCAGTTGCCAGCATGTAGACGTCCGTCGTAACGTTAATGACGACACTCCTTCAGCTTGAATCATCCCACTTGAATCATTCCCCCCCCCCCCCCTCATCGAGATTGTCCAAGATCGTGAAATATTCGAGCAGATAATAATTCGCAATGCTATATATTTATAAATACGTCGGCCACGATTGGCTGAGTGTACATTGCGTATAATTGAGCTGGGCGGATGAAAATCGGATGCGAAAGGTCATAATGAGAAAAGTTAGAAAGAGAAATAGAAAGCTCTGTAACAGTCTGCGTTCAAAAGCGAGATTAATTAAGGTATACACAGTTGTGCCGCGTTACGATCCGATTACCGCGTCCTCGTCTAGCTTTCTCTACTGCCGCGATTAACAAATAAATATGTAAATAAATAAACTCATTAGAACGTGCAATAATTAACGCAAAAGTCTGTCGACGAATCTGGAATGCGAGGTAACTTAACCGATAGAGAGACATGGAAATTGTCACGCGATGCGTGTCCCGCGTTTCGTCAATACGCCTTTCCACGCGATCGACTTGCTCTACCCCCCAGGTAAAAGATTCGCGTCGAATGGGGTCGGTGCATTATGGTGCACGCATCCCTCGGAAATGCTCGAGGGAGGCCGCGGCGTGTGGACCCCGTGTTCCGATTAATTTCTCTCTGGAAAGCAAGTATAACGTGCCCGAGCCTCGCGGAGCCCTCGTTGCAGTCTATCGGAAATTCTGCCGTGTGCCACGGACGGACGGCGCGGGTCGTGCGAGGAGGATCGATTGGCGGCGACAAGCCTCGGCAATTGCGTCTTAAAACGCATCTTACTAACGCGCCGCGGCAACACGGGCGATTCTCGCCCGCCTCGCCGTGGCCGCCGCGGACTCCTTACGCGATCCTCACGCGGTTTTGCGCATTCATATACACCCGCAAAATTCATCGATCGCCGCACCTTCTCGCCGAACCGCTTTCTCTCGCCACCGCTAAATCGCGGCTCCCGAGCGCGATAGAGCACGGAGTATATAGCCCGCCGTTCTACTCTGATCGCTCATTGATCTAGTTATGCGTCACCGTCTTGTGTAAAGCCTCCCCTCCCCCTCCCTTCCCATCCCTTAAAGAGACACAGCTATTTAACGTTAATGCCTTCGACTCGCTCGCGGAAAAATTCACTCTCGATGCAGCTCCACGAAACAATCGCCATTTGTATTATAGACGCGAATCGAAAGCTAGAAACGATTTCGCCGTCCCGATTTCGGACTTTACGGCACCGCTCGCGATCCCCGATAATCGCGAGGTTACGTCAACGAGTACGTTTTAGCAGAAATTACGTTCAAGAATTATACTGCAACGCGAATTCGATCTATGTCTAACACGGAGCTAGTACGCGTCACCTTAATTATTCCGTTTGATACTCTATTTCACAACTATGTCGTCCTTAGCTACTCAGTTCGTCGGAACTGAAAGAAAGACTCATTCACTGTTCCGGGGACCATTCAAGATTTTTGTCGCTCGACATCACGGGATCGGATAGTCGATGAAGTCTCGTCCTCGAAGCGACGTTCTCACGGAGGAGACCTTCGGATTTCTACCGGGGGTAATCTCGTTCGCGGTCTCTCCTGCGGAACGCACGGTTGCTCGAGACCCGTATTATTATCACGTGTACTCACATGCTGCTCGTAGTCGGTTGCCTCGGGCTCTCGCTATTCCGGTAATCCTCGTCGATTTGTCAATCGGCTCGCTCGGCGGGCACCCCCGGTCGATCGGTCGGTCGTTCGGCGTTCGGCGCGTAACTTTTCGCGAGCAACTGCCAACGAGACTAGATGGCCGCCGCGGTATTGATAAAATTTCCAGGCGGCACGCCGCCGTGTGCGATATCGTCGGCACGGGCGCGCACGCGTGCGACCGAGCGATATATCTCGACGGTCCACCCTCGAACTTTGATTTTCGCCCCCGCGTACGTCGCGACGCGTTCCCGTCGCGCTCCTACGCTCGCGAACGTTCGCGTACGCGCCCACGATCGCGCGATCGGCCGATTTCCCACGGGAGACACCTGGGGAACGGCGAGCGTGGGGAATACGCTTTCGAAAGCGCGGCGGACACGCGGAGAGTCGATCTCTCGAGGCTGCAGGGTCGACGGACGACACGCCAACCACGCCGATTGCGCACGTGCGGCTCCAATGTTGGTCGATAAACGGTCGCGACGTCGCCTCGCAACCCCCATGCGCGAACACACCCTACGTCCGCGACCGTCAGGAACGTTTCCGCGAGCAACGGGTGCCATGCCCGTTTCCTCGATTGCATTTTACATCGTTAAACATCCGCGCGTTACAATTCTAATAATCCAAAAATTAATTTTGATTGCGTTTGATAAATCGTTGGATCGTATAAAAAAAAAATTCTGCGCGCTTCCTCAGCAATCCAAATGTATTCGATTGCGTTGAATCGTACAAATTAACTGTAATCGTGTAAAATAGAATTTTAATCGACTGTATACATTTCACGCCTGAATATTTTTTTGTGCATTTAATAAACCTATTGCGGACAACGGTGATATTTAAATTTCGAACGTTCGCGTTGATCGCTGCATCGGGGGCTGTAAGATTGCGGCCCCGCTCTCGGCAAGTCGGAACCTCGTGTCCTTGAATACGTTCCTGCAACGACGCGATGCGAATACGCGCACGGCCATCCGCAAGATGTTTTATTTATGCCACCATCGCGATATTCGTCGTGAGTCACGTCGGTGTCATGGTTGAACAGCAGCGCGACGTCGGGGATGCTTCTGCGTTACTGCTCGTACGACTGATTATGGCAGCTCGTAGCGGTAAGTGGTTATTGAATTTTGTGAGACGGTCATTGAGTTCCTCTTCCATCTTCCTCGGAAATAGACGGCTGCTCGCGTCGTCGTTGCGGCACGTTTCCTCAGGCGTTGCTCTTTCCGAGATCGACCCAGTTCCATCCCATCGGACACTCTCTATCCGTTGATCCATAAAATTTCGAGTCACTCTTTCGCTTTAATCGTCTTACGATATTTTAATTTGCCGCCGCCAAATGTCAATCCTCTTCGCTTCCTTTATTCCAATTGACTATTGGATTTATCATGTCTTTATTTCTCATAGTTTATCGTAGGATCTTTATAATATAATAAATTTATTATATTTATTAATGTTTGTCTTGCTTTTCTTACTTCTGTCGTTGGCGGGCTATTTTATTTCCTTCACATATTATTTTACTAACAAAAGTGTAAGATTATAGCAGATGTCATAGCAGCAGTATTGCTAAAACATTTTGTCCATTGCATATATCCCCTGCGTGTCGGTCTTATGAAATATTAAATTTATGTTTGCGATAAAGTTATTAATATTATTATCAACTTTGTTCTTTAATCGATGAAAAAGTGAGATGCTTGGAATGTCATGATTATTTTACAATCATCATTGACGACCAAGCAAATTTTCAATGCAGAGTCCCAGCTGCAAGTCAATCTGACAATTCAATCTAATATACAATGCTATATAGTGCTATTAAGATGCGTTTTTGTTTGATATTCAGCAATTCTTCATTTATTTTACGACACTATCTATTCGTATTCGTTTATGCTAATTGATCCATCTGAATTAACTTTTATATTTTATAAATAGGAATATATGTATATTTTAAATGTACTATACAAAGTATAAAAAATACATTTAAAATATATAAAATGTATTATAAATGTATATTTTACTTATAGATAAAATAGATATCCATATACGTATAAATATAAAAATTATACGAATATTTAATATCACGTTTGCTACTCTCATATTTCAAAAACTTTATAATATATATTATAAATGTTTATTTTAAATATGTATTATAGAGTTTTTGAAATATGAGAATAGCAAACGTGTATTAAACATATTCGTATAACTTTTTAGCGATAATTGATCGCTCATCGTATCATAATTAATTTAATTAAATTAATTATAAATACAATAAGTGTAATTTAATTAATCCATTTCATATATTTTTATGTTAATTATTAATTGCACCATTGCGTTACATCGATCATTGCAACGTGATGTCATCGTTGTTGATTTGGGTTCAGCGGACTACCGTTTTTACCGGCAAAATAAATCTAATCGGCGCTTTTAGATGGCGTGGGCAGGCATAAATTTTAACAAACTGTCATTAATTATGACAGTAATCCGCAAGATTTTAAAATTGATTAATAAATTATATCATTAGCATTATACGAAATCGAGAAAAGCAAATCACGATTGATGACGTGCATTTTTGCCCCGTTCCTCTTTTGATAAACACGCTATTATAATATCCGTGACGTCATGATTATCGCCATCTTCGACTCGTGTCACTCGTGTGTCATCCACTGTTGTCGTTGTAAACCTGTTGCCGTCATCGCAAGATTCGCAAGTAATTTGCGAGATTTCATTGCGCCTTGCAGGTTTAATAGGCTTTGATTGATCGTTTCGTACATTTGACTCTTTTATAGGTGAGTAAGAAATAAAGCAATTGTACGTGCACGATATCGTACGCACGAGATTCATTGTAGTATCATCGTTCCGGATGCAACGCTAATGATTAAACCTTTGTCATTTTGTCATCTATCGCGATTGTATTTCCACGCGTTCCCATCTTCGCGTACGCAGACCTTATTCTTATTTATCAGCCAGCTGGAGCGATGAATATTGCGTATAATTTCGTAGATTGACAAACGTACAAATAGAGCTCGTTGAGGAACATATGTGACTTTTGAGGTTATGGGCGTGTACCTATTATTTTGTCGATTTCTGCCGAATCTGTTACAAGCAGACTCGTATTCTTTACATCACTTCGTTTCGTTCAATCTGATCTCGTACGCGTGGTAGTCGTGAATCAGCGAAACGTTCGCGGAGAGGTTATGATTGTGGAGAACAGGTTAGTTGGAAGGAGTCCTCGTAATTGTTTCAGGACTATGGAGGGTGGCGGTGCAGGTGGAGAAGCGGGCGGGCCGCACAACGCCCAGCAAGCGGGCGCCAGCAACAAGAAGCTGCAGCAAACGCAGGCCACCGTGGACGAGGTCGTAGGCATAATGAAGGTTAACGTGGAGAAGGTGTTGGAGCGGGATCAGAAGCTCTCGGAGCTCGAGAATCGCGCGGACGCCCTGCAGCAGGGCGCGACGCAGTTCGAACAGCACGCCGGCAAGCTGAAGCGAAAGTACTGGTGGAAGAATCTCAAAATGATGCTTATCCTCGGTATCATTTGCGTCATTATCTTAATCATCATTATTGGTGAGTACGCGACGCCAGACTACCCGAATCTGGCATTGCCCGTATCTCTCTCTTTCTCTCACCTCCGCACGATTATATTTATTTATTCTTTTGTTCATCTCTGCGACAGCTTCGGTTGTGCCAAGTTCGTCTTCGGACAACTCCGATAACTCTCCGAAATGATAGCGTTGTACCAAAGGAAAAGACACGGTGTCATACCGAACAAACATCCTCTCTCTTAGGATAAGTTATATATTTGGTGAAGTACGTATACAAGGGGGACAACGAGCTAGAATGAATTACACGTTTATCCGTAATGTTCGTCCGCACAAAAAGATTGGGAACAACGAGAGAAAACATATTTTTTGAGACTTATTATTGTATCGAAGCGCACACGATTATTGAGCCTAACAACCAGTATTAATAGCGGGTGGCCTTCCATTTTTTTAAATACAGCAAAATAAATACTTGGGATATTCTTACAATGTTAATCTTGTTACAGCAATGCTTATTATAAATTATAGATATATAATATATAATGTTTGTACACTCTTCCCGACCGAGTTTCTGTTAATATTTATCACGATTCTCCTCCAGCCTCCCGCCGTCCATTCCATCACGCGCGCAATTGAAAGTGGACCGAGCGAAATTGCAATTTTTTTCGTAAAATTACACCCTACGTAATACACGTAATTGACGTAATTTCCTCCACCGGAGGCACCACGTCAAATTGTATTGCGAGTCGTTAGGAATGTAGTATGATGAGTCATTTCTCGTTTCTCGGCGTCGTAAAAACGGCCGCTACGCTAGATGACGTTTGATCCGCGCATTTTTACCGCGGATGCTTCTTCGAATTCTACGTCGATTGCCTAGAAACTGTAAGATCTACGTTGCCTAGAAAATATAATGGTCGCTCATAAATATTTATGTCTCGACGCTCTTCCGCTCCTCCGCGGTTCGAAACAACGTTCGAAACAACGTCAATTTCATTCGACCGTAAGTCGTCTGTCTACATATATTCGCCGATAAGCGATATTTCTTCGCGCCGTTAAAGTCCAAAAATTCAGGGTCGTTCTCGCGGAGGAAGGTTCGTTCAATTAAATGAAACGCCGTTAATTGCATCGTAAAAAAGAGAAAAAAAATTACACGATGCAGGTGCACGATAAGCGTGTGCGATACGTATATAGAACAAAACGGGGAAAACCTTTAACTAACGGATTGCAAAGCACATTTCGCATGAATATGAAGAAGCGCTCAATTCTGTTTTCCCTATCGCGGTATAAATTATGCAAAACTTGCAATATATTAATGACACAATACGCTTGCAAATATGTATTATTGTGTCACATAATATGTGACACAATAATACATATTTGCATTAAAATAAGGAAGAAAATAAAATTTTTATTTTCATGCGATATATCGTATATTAATACGATTGTCTTACGTATAAATAATTGATTTTAAATGTTATTAGTTTTAATGAGTTAATATCTCATATATATTTGAGTATTGCACAGAAATGACTCGATTATAAAAATAATCTGCGATAACTTTGCAACAAAGGAAGCAGAGTGTGCGATAGCGATCGATCGCTATCAGACATTGATATGTTCCCGTTATTTATCTCTTTAATCGTCCGATCGCGATCCACGTTTGTAAGCGTTGCCGACCTTGTGCGCTCGAAAATGTCACGCGAAAGGTGAGATTCTCTTTGATGGGCTAATTAGTACCGTTCAACCCGTCGAGTGATACGCGTTCGCGAATCGTTTGGCGAATTCGCGACGGTCAAGGTCGATCGCTCGTGTATTTCGTGTGTAATAACGTAATTGGAAGTCGCGTGAGCGAAATGAACGATGATGGCATGTGGAAAAGGAAAAGGTCGTCGTCCACAGCCTGATTCATTAAACTCGCTGAAAATTATCGCGTCGCGTTTGACGACATCAAGCTGCGCGCCTTTCGCCGAATCAGGGACACTCAAATGGAGAAATGTCAATCCTCTCGTTTTTTTTTCTGTTTTCAAATCGGTCGATGCTTATTCTTGTCGGCGCGCAGCTCGATCGAGTCTTTAGCTGACATTATCAGACGTCGCGTCGATTAAAGAAACGTTTGACAGTATGAGGTCGTAGTTACAATTTGCAGTGCTATTTCTTGAACCAAGGTGGCCACGATACTATCGTCGCAGTAGCGGCGTGGAAGGATCTAAGCGATTCGCAGTAATGCTTATCGTAGAATTAATTTTTTTCTAAAATTATCATTTCTTACGTGAAAAAATGTAAGAATATTGAGGTAAAATCGATAAGCAAGTCTGTACCGATACCTAAATAAAATATTGCGATGTTTTTTTTCCTCGTACGATGCTTCGTCGATTAGAACGAAAGTCGCATGATTCGCTGGAAATTCGCGAAATCCACGTGCTCTCTGCGTTCCCCGTGAACGGCGAAATTTTACTCTAAAAGTGTGCGAAAGACGCGGCGACTCGCTACGCGAGTGTCTCGCGCGAATCCGAGGAATCGATTGATCGTGAGAAACAGCGACATCCACAGTCGTCGTCGCCGCTTACGCCGATGTGGGATTTTAAATTTCCTGCAAACACACACCCAGAGTGACTGAAATCTCGGCCGCTTCATTCATACACCTATCAGTCGGCTCACGACCGTCCAGCCGGGCAGTCAGAGGCGCTCGCGAAGCGCGCGCTCGCCGCGTCCCGCCGCCGTCACAAGCGATTTCGTGCCGCAGCCGCGACGATCGACGATCCTTGACTGAAAAGTCCCGCGCTCCGCGAGGTAAACCGTGTACACGGAATCGGGTGATATTGCCGTTTCCTCGTACGAGCGATTCGAAGCCGACCGAGTGACGTCTTGGAAGAAAATCGTCGCTTAATCGCGCGTCGTCTATCTTTCGAAAGATCGGAGAATTTCGGTGATTCCGTTCAAATAAAACATCTGCCTGAGTATCATTTCTTTAACAATTTAGTGCGACTCACATCACGTTTGTATAAAAGTGTCCTTACTTCGAGATCATCGTCTACGTAGAATTTCGCGAAAACCTTCGTAAGTGAAGTATGAGGATCATCGACTTTTCTGCGCGGAGTCAATCGGCTCTATTGGCGTAACGATAGCGCTCTCGAGTTGCGTTATTCGCGTGCCACTATCATGACGAGCGTATTTGGCTCGCAAAACGTTCCCGGCATCAATATTTACTAGTTCGAAAGTCCGCCTCGTGTGGTTACGATACGAAGACGATAACGTTTCGGGCCGCCGAGGTCCGATCGTTGGATTCGACATTTTTTTACCCGCGTCCGGGCCGCGAAGTTCGCGTTTGCGCTGGCCAATTGCGCTGCACAGGCCCGGTGTTTGTACAGTGACTGGACGATATTTTCAGCCTTTCTTTATCTTTTGCTCGCGGCTGTTTTCGCGCTGCGAAAGCTACCGACGACGGCGGCGCGTCCACGTGATCGTTGCAGCGCTTTCCGCGCTTTCCTTCGAAAGCGCGAAATCGTCTCCGCGATTTAAATCGCGTGTGCACGTGATGCCCGATCCGATTCCGGCGCTCTTCGTCGCGCGCGGTTAACGATTCGAAGATCTTGCGTGTGGCCTTTAACAACCCGATGAAATATTCGTAAGTGATAAGGTCATTTCTAGAGTACGCTAGTCTTATCGGTGCGATAAATTCGAAGTAACTCGCAAAGTTGATTGCAGTATCGATCGGAAGCTATCGATAAGTGAAGATACGCGTAAGCGAGTAAGCGAGAAGATACGTGCTGCTCCAGCGACTGTAGTTTTTATTAGTGTCCTGTTCCGTAATATGATAACTACAATCCAAGCAATAATCGAAAGTAGAAGGTAACATCCTTTTTGTACGCCAGAGATTTACTTCGACATGAAAGATTTTTTTCGCATTTATCTTCCTTTCGAGTCTCATTTCGTTGATTTTCCCAAATTGTGACGCTCCGTCAAAAATCGGAGCTTCTTCGAAATTCTCGAAAGAAATAGAAACGCCGAACGACATTAGTCGATGACGTTGATCGTGCACCCGAGGTGAAGAGTCTCATCGATGAATTGCCGCTACGAGAGGAAGGAACGAGGAAGAAGAAGAAGAAGATTCGGTGCCTCTGACAGACCAATCGTAGATCACGCTTTCTTCATCTTTTTTGAATTTCCGCCCTCTACGGGCGCGGTTTTTTGGAGAAAACGCTAGATTCATCTGTGATTCTTACTCCCACACTCATCTTCCCTTCTTCTCCCGATCGTCCTTGTCTTCTGCCTCGTCGCCTTTCTTCAGAGAAGCGCCTTTCCGCGGCGATTAAAAAATTTTTCGAATAGTCGTTCTTGTCTCGCGAGATAGGAAGTCAAAATGGCATCTTCCAATCGAAGAGAAGACGAGGAGTATGGATTGGGATATCAGAATACTTTGGTGAGTACCTCGTTTGAATTTCATGATTGCGAATTAATTAAAGATTATTGTAAGTTAATATTAAGAAATTAACAAATATATTAACAAATGTTGTTAGATTATAAATTAATTAATATTACCGACAGATCATTAATATGCAATTTTATCAAACAATCGAAAGTTTACAAAGTTTTATTATCTGAATGAAACTGAAGAAAAAAAAAAAGAAATGGAAAGATAGTGAAGAGGTTTAGAAAAGCGAGTTCTTTGAAAGACAGGGAACGGTCTGATAGCACATCGTAGTGTCAATTTTTAATTTATTAGTATTAATGTGATTTTTGTGCATGCAATTAATTTTTAAAAATAACATTTTAAATTTTACGCTAAGTAGAAGTAACACGATTTCAAGTATTGCATAATTTTATTACATAAAATTTAAATTATATTGCCGGTTTGTGATTCAGTAAATTGAAGACAAATTTCTTTCTGGGAACGACGGATGTGATTATCAAACCTCTCCGCATTGTCTGAACAAGTCTAAATTATGAGATATCGATAATGTAAATTCATGCGCAGACGAGTCGAACGAGAGACGACACTAGCGACTTTAAGAAGAACTATAAAATTACTATCGGGAAATAATTACAAATGATTTATGAATAGTTACTTTGTTTTCTAAAATCTGAATTTTTTTGCTTCCTCATTGTCTTGCCCAGACAAGACAATGATATGTTTCATAATATTTAGATAAAAATCATAATTGACGTGACTCCTCCGATCGATCTGTTTACGTCGCAAATAGAACGTCGCAAATAATTTATGTTACAAAAATGCTAATACTTTCATAGCACTCCATTATCATCTCCAAGAAATACTACGAAGATCAGCTTTTTTTATAGAAAAATGCGAATGTCGCAAATTACATGTTAACATCACGAGAAGTATTACACGATAATCTACGAATCGCGTAAAAATATCAAAGACAAACATTTATTCTGAACATTTTGCATACGCCTTGAAAATAAGAGAATTAAGCAGTTATCGAGTTAATAACGAGAATATTGTTTCTCGTGTTTTAAATGCATTTCTTGGCTCTTTTTTTCTTGTCTTTAATCTTTTACACCTTCGAATGTGCCAGTGCGTTAGAAAAACGATACAA